CGCAGAACTTTCTGCGAGCCCAGCTGCGTCAACTTTGAACTTCCCTAATGACATGCGCCTGGCTAGGCCCGGCACATCGCGACGCGCAACGGCATGGAGTCTCCTATCTACTATACACGAGCTGAATATATTGAGACAGTAAGTATCTTTACCTCAACAAGAAATAGACAATTTGGCGACCATTTTACATAGGACACCGGCAACAAAGTTTCGCGACGCGCCACCATCGCTGGTCCCCAGAACATCATCCTTGGTGGGAAGACCATCATCTCAAGCGGTGCAATTATTCGCGGTGATCTACGAAGGACGGGTCCCGGTCATGCAGTGGTTATTTCGCTGGGTCGATATTGTCTCATCGGCGAAGGGTGTGTCATGAGGCAAGATCGTGTGGTAGCGTCAGGTTAGAATGCATACTTACTGACTAGCTGGCTCGACAGACCTCCTTATAAGACGTACCGCGGCAATTTCAACTACTATCCCATGAAGATAGGTGACCACGTACATATTGGTGCGAACACTATCGTTGAAGCGGCGACCATCGGGAACCACGTTGAGATTGGGAAGAATTGTGTTATAGTATGTTGTGTACTCTTCTGTGTTCACGAATAACTGTACGAACTTTCTCAGGGAAAATTTACTATTATCAAAGACTGCGCAAAGATTGCAGATGGCACAATCATCCCACCGAACACAGTCGTTCCTGCATTGTCGCTATTCGCGGGTTCGCCTGGTAAGTGTGCATGTACAGCTTGTATTTCAATTACTGAATTTTATGTGCAGGTCGGTTTGTTGAGGATCTTCCCGAATCTACACAGGAAATGGTCGAGGCTCTGACGAAGCAATATTACACGCGATTCCAGCCCATGTCTAGCGAGCGATAATCCACGTCACAAGATGATACGTCTTGTTCTATGACCTTATACCCTCCCTCATGATACCATCGTGCATTCTGCATGTACTAATGTCCCAATCTTATATTTGATGTATCTCTCCTGTGAGGTATAGACTGGACTTGACGATGTAGCTTGTGAAAGTACATCAAAATTCCTTCCATTAGATGTAGCTACATTGTCCGAAGAGACGGAATCAATGTTCTGACCTCGTCCCATCCGATGTACCGAAGCTATCATCATGCGCCGCACCCCAAGCAAGGTGTCCCATGGCAGGAAAGAATTTGACATATATGTGCTTTCTTTGAGCTTGCTTGTCACTACATAGCGTCGAGAAGGTATCTGCCAACGAGACTACAGCAACTTTCGAACTAGACAATATTACTCCAAGCGAGGCGTGTCCGCAAACAAGACCGCCGCAAGCTGAGGCGGATACCTGTCGCCCTTCGCGTGGTCTGCGCTGTTCGCAATTTTGCGCACTTCTTCCAATTCTTCAGGCGTCAGCGTCACCTTCGCTGCGCCTAGATTCTCCTTCAGACGCTGCAATATAACATCACGTCTCAGCCTTGCTCCACTTTACAAAGGGAGGCCGACGCACCGCAACGTTGGTCGTCCCAGGGATAGGGATGACGTCTGGGCCTTGTGCGAGGAGCCATGCGAGTGCGACTTGTCCAGCAGTTGCATTGTGACGCGCGCCAATCTGCTTGAGTCCGTCGACGAGCTTCAGAATGTTTGGGAAGTTGTCGCGCGAGTAGCTGTAAGCGAGCGGACGAGTTTATCACATATTTAGTAATCCACTTGAGCAAGGACGCACCGAGGGACTCCGCGTCGAAAGTCTCCCTCCTCAAAGTCGTCAGGCGATTTCTGCTGAAAGTATTAGACGGGGAGCTGATATACGGAGAAAGTACTATGTACGTATTGGCCCGTGAGTAGCCCACGTCCCAGAGGCGAGTAAGCGACGATCGTCACACCCAATTCGCGGGCGGTTTTTAATAACGCAATCTTCTCATCCTCGATATCGAGCGTGAAGGGCGAGTATTCGACTTGAATGGCGGTGATTGGGTGAACGGCGTTTGCACGTCGCAAAGTATCAGCCGAGCATTCTGACAGGCCGAGATACTTCACTTTTCCAGCTCTAATAGGCAGAAAATATTCAGCAAATTTGACAAGCAGGAGATTGACCTGTATATATTCACTTGACAAGTTCCGCCATTGCTCCAACAGTCTTTTCGATAGGTACTTGGGGATCCGCCCTGAGGAAGTGGCCTGTAAGCGATTGCATTACTAGCCGTTATGTTGAACTGCGCACCGGTGCAGATAATATAACTCAATAGAGTCTACACCCAACCGACTCAAAGACGTGTTGAACGCCTGATGAACGTATTCGGGATCGCCGTTCACAAGGCGATTGGGCACGCCGGAGCGCAGTCCGAATTTTGTTGCAAGGAAGATTTCATTGCGCTTTCCGGTGCGCTTGAACCTGGTACAAAATAGATTCACGCCTTTGAGAGTGCATCGAGTGTACATACACTCACCATTTTCCAAGCAGCTCTTCATTGTCCGCATATACGTCAGCGGTGTCCCACATCGTGCAGCCGTTCTCGTAGACTGCATCGAGGACCTAAGACATTCTTTAGTATCACCGCTTTATAGGCAATATAAAGGCGAATACGCACCTTCAATCCCTCCTCGTCAGGAAGAGGGGTACCGTAGAACGCGGATAGGCCCATGCAACCATAACCAACGGCGGAGACGACGTGCTGGCCAATCTTGCGTGTGGGAAGAGACATAATTGGACGGGGTTTTATTTATCGGTGATATGTAGACCTGGTTAGGAGGGAAGTTGAGTTGGGTGACAAGTCGGATACTGTCGCGGTATATATATGCGCCATGAGAACTTAAACTCAACCAAGAGGCTTCTGCTCACTAAGCCCTAACGGACATTGTACTATCGATCGCTGAAAGTCTTACATCATAAGTCTGCTGGCGAGGTTACGAACGCAATGGTCTGCCGTTCAATTCTCCCTGGGGAACGTGCCGGATTCGGAGCGCTGGTGCATGTGTTCGGGCGAAGAGTGGGTCCATTGAGAATGGTGAATATCAGCTGTAGAGCATGTTCGAGACCGTGAATAAGTGGGGCCAAAAAGACACTATCATAGACCGCTGTTGTAGAACAAGGGCAAAGGCCGCGGACTTGTGGTCGCTGGTCGCAGGTTGGGGAGCGTGGTAATTAGCAAACGTAACGAAATCTCATGAAGCCACTTTCTCCGACTCTGAAAACAACCTTACATCAGTCTAAGTTGCGGCTGTTGTGGATTGTGCATGCTCAGACTCAAATCACATTCTGCCCATTCGATGGACTCTACCGTCATTAACATCTAACGCACATAGGCCACATCCTTTCTTATCCTACTCGTACCGGGCGTGTCACACCTCAGGCCTCAGGCTTCCGTCTGCAACTTAGTTTCATTTGACTCGCCGCATTCCAATTCTTCTCGTATCAGACAAGCCACAATGAATTCGTACCCTCCCGAACTACTCGCGCAGCTAGCCCCGGTCATGTTCGTTGGTGGTTTGGATCCTCCGCAACCACCTGGAAAGAACCAGGATCCCTTCGCCGTGCTTTCTTACCGGTTGCGCGAAGCATTGCTGGGCCAGCGCAAAGCGGCAGTCTGGCAGCCACAGAAAGACAAAACCTTCCAGGTGATCATCGTCGACAAGGTATGCATTTCTATCAGATCTTTCTTTCTATGTAGCCCCGTAACGGGATCAGGATGTTCGCTTTCCGCCACGTAAACTCGTTCCACCTGAAGACCCACAATACCATGCCGCCCATTCTCCTCTGTCGCCGCTGACCCCCACGTCGCCCTTGTACCCAGACGGATTGATCGCGCCGATATGGATACGAAAGCACACCACACTCGTACCATCCGTATACGTCGTGTTCATGCGCATATATGAGTCTCCCCAAGCGGCTCGTGCGCCACTGGAGCCGTCCGAAGCAGATCGTGAGCGGGAAGCGGAGGAGCGGAGGAGAGACACTGAATTATGTGCGGACATTGCACAACGGAAACGGACGACAAGCGAGAGGGGGGTGAAGCTCACGGTGGTGCTTCTTGCAAGTAGGAAGATGTTAGGTAGGGAGGGATGTTTTATGGTACTCGCACGTAGCTTCGCCAATTGACTGACGGGATTCACAGACGAGCCGTCGTTGGATAACCGCTTGACCTACATCCGGAGACAGAGTGGACTGGATCCCCGCGCGGCGCTTTTTGTGTTGAGTCCCGTCTCGCCGTCCGAAGTCGGGGACTTTGTGCGCAGGTGGGCCTGAACTTCATCGTTGTCTCATCCATGCTGAGAACAGCACAGTCTCCAAGAGGCGCTATATGAGCCTGCTGTGGAATACTACACGAACCACTCGAAGCGTGTCCGTCGGAAGCGCAACCGCCACTCGCAGAGCGCTGCGGCATATTCAGCTCCGCCCATCGCTGGTGCAGCAGGCGCGCGGCCGCTACGTCCAGAGGGGTGGACGGTCCGCTACGAGTACAAGATGGCATGCTTTGCAGAGTTTCGCGGAGAGGATGAGGTAGCACTGAAGTGCGTCTGTTGTCATTGCTCCACTGCCACCGCTGAACGTCCCCATAAGGCATTATCAGGATGCGTATTCGAATCTCCTGATCATGTTTGGCTCGACTGCAATCTTACCTCCGCGGACGAAGCGATGGGCGGAGGCAAAAGTTCTCGCCGATTGTATCAGCCTGAAGGTATCATAATTTTTTTTCTTTAGTTAAATCAAACTAATGCGCGCCACACCAGGTTTGCAAGCTATACTTATACAACAACGAACACTCGCTTGCTCTCTCGCACCATAACAGTCACCTGCGCAAGTTTGCAGACTTCTCGCGGGGATGGGGCATCGGTGAGGAGACTTTTGAGTTCTGGAGCTGGTTGGCTCGTCAGTGCGTATGGTCTTTCTCTCCCCTTGGCGCCGTCCTCACTGCGCCACGTCAGACATCGAGCATTTGCGGAACTATTGGAACAGGGCACGCGCACAACTCTCAAGATTCCAACACACTATAATTTAGGATCGTCTTCTGTCGCAGCCGCCGCCGCCGCGGCGCAGGCACTCGACAGCGGACAGCGGAATGTGTTAGAGCTGGACGCGATGCGTGCCCTTGGGCTCAATCCGCTACAGGCGCTGCAGCACCCCGGATTCTATTATTACATGGCTGCACGGTGTACCGAGCGCAGGCGAGAGCGATATATGAGCACGACGAAAGCCGAGGTATGGGATTGATTACACTTCAGAATTGTGCTGTTTTCTGACGCCGTGTCAAAGGAACAAGCCAACACCACCTCTCCGGGCTTTACGAACGAAAAGAAGGTGGACCATCTCGCGCTTGCCCTGGAGGTGTGTCGCGATATAACTTAGTACTTATATCAATAACGTTGAGCTCGTTACTCTAGTTGTACACCCGATCGTATGAATTATTCAAAGCGCACAGTCCCCCAACTACCCAGGGCCACGGGCGCCTCACACTGTGGATAGCATACCGAATCGCACAGACATATTTTGAGTCTGGGAAATTTGACATGGCTGTTCGGTTCGTGCTCGTTCCTTTGTCCTCAAGATCAAGCTAATTGTGTTTGCTTAGGTTTTTCGAGCGCATAGCGAAGACATATCGCCGCGAGAAATGGGACTCTTTATTGCAGCCTCTGCTTTCGGCCTGGTACTCATGCGCAAAACAAATGGGCGACACGGGGCTTGGCGTCCGCCTGCTTTTTGAGATGCTGGGGCACGGTTCGTCTCAAATCTGATAGTTGATTTGATCTCGCCTAAGTTCACGCCCAGGTGTTAGGACGCAGCAAGGGGATGAAAGCTCTACTCAAGCAGATCTTATGGAAATACTCAAGGTTTGGCAGGTTGCACATTGCTTGCTCGTCAATTGGATTTAATATGTCTGTTAGAGCACCGCGCCGGAGGGCCCCGTCGTTATAGAGTCATCAGAGACTCAGCCAATACGTACGTGGCTCCACTTGTCTTTGGCATTTTCTGACTTTCCTCGAAGTGGATGCATCCGTGGTCTTTTGGAAGCACAACGTGATTGTGAACGAAGCAACAGCCTTTCAGCTATCTATTAAAGCGAAGCCGACCGTTTCCCTCTCGGCTCTGCCTTTTGTGTCACTCATCGTACACTTTTCTTCTGACATCCCCCCTGTAACTGTTCATCATATTGCATCAGACACGTCCGAAGTGGCCGTTATACAGAGAATAGACTTGGGGCACGTAGAGATCCCTTTCGCACAGGATGATATGAAGAGCAAAAAGGTGGAAGGATGTCTGCGGTGGTGTCCTTCCGGCACAATTGTCTTTAGTGGGAGTATATCCTCTGATACACCTGCTGTTGTCAAGGTAATTTGATTTCTCTTCTCTCATCTGTTTCGCTCATTGATATGTTAGATTAGCAAAGTCATCTTGACCCTGCAGGAAGGAGCATGGAAGTTAGAGTTCCCTCTGCATCCCTCCAGCGATCGACATAACGTGCACCCAAGCTGGCTAAGCTCCGCTGATCCTATCCAATTCATACCCGTCCGCGGGGAACATCATACATCTGTCTCGTGAGATTTTGCTCGGAGATAGGTGATGAACAGAGACTAATAAAAGATACCAGCTTTCACTATCGACCACACCGAGTGGAGGTCTCACTGTCACACTATGCGCCCGCATATCTTGGAGAAGACTTCCCTATCGTCATTCATGTCACAAATGCAGACGACAGAGATATGGAGATGATTGTGGATGCGCTTCTGCAACCTAGCGAGATGGATGTAGCAGGTGTGTATGCGTTTGATTCAGTTCTTCGGCAATTCACTCCGATGGTTTAGACAACTTCATTAGCTTGGGGGACGAACGATCAACCAGCCTCGTGAAAGCGGTTCCTCTGGGCATAATCTCCCCCGGGGTCAGCACGTCCGTCACGTTGTATCTCTCCAACGCGGGCGCGGCATATGACAGAGTCGTCGACATCTCAGTCCAGTCTCGTGCGCTCTCTTCTACGGAACCAGCGAGCCCAACATCTCCCGGAAGTCCGACAGCGCCTGCAGTCGTGGACAGAGACGAGACATTGCGTACCTTGATCGTACCAACGATTGATCCGATACACGCAGAGCAGCAGGTCACTTACAGAAGATCATCGAAGGATCAACTGGGACTCGCTGATCTACGGACGTACGAGGGCGACTTTTGGGACGACGGGAATGCTGGCGAAGCTATAGTGACGACCGTTATCAGGTGTATGGCCCCATCGGGTATCTCAGTGGAAAGTATCAAGTTGACCAGACAGGTGAGCTATTCAAGGCTGTGCTTAATCATCTCTATTAACTTTGTGGACAGGATGTCAAGCGCGCAAAAGTACTGGATTGCTCGATAGAGCAGGACCAAGATGATTTTCTCTCAGGTAGGAAGTTATGCCGCTACTTCCCTCGTATATTGATTCTGAAGCAGAACTCAACAGAATGGCTGCCCGGGGATGAGTTTTGTGGTCGATGTCGAATAAGCCTGTCCAACAGTGATGAAGATGTGTCGGAGGAAACTTTTGATGGGCCTGGAAAGTATGAGATATTTTGGAGAAGGTAACAGGCTATCCCATCTGATGCGCTCCGAAAGGCTGATTTCCCTCTGTTCAGAATTCTCCCAGAGGGAACCCAGGGCTCCTTATCCGTCAGTCGCTTTCCGCTGCCTCAATTACGACCGCCGACAGATGGGCTCGTTGCACTCTTGGATATCCCGCCGATTGCAAAGCTGCACGTGCCTTTCCTGCTCCGGCTTGTCATACGCAACGGACATCCCTCGCGGGCTGCGAATGTCGTCATTCAGCTGGAGATTGACAGCTCAGATCCAATTATTGTCTCGGGCCTTCGCAGTGGTCGAATCCCCATTATTCTGCCGGGTGCAGAGGAGACTTTGGTCTGGAAACTCATCCCGATCGAATGCGGCGCGGTGAAAATCCCACGTATCAAGGTCATGGACCGCAGAAAAGATATTCACAGTCTAGCGAGTCTGGAGGCGGAGCCCGATCATGAAGGCGAGATTGTGCGCATCGTAGACATCCGATCGGACGAACGCATGGAAACGTCTGGAGAAGTGCCAACGTGGGATGGTGCGGGCGAGAACCAACGGGATGGCAATGAGCTGTCCAAAACGCCTAGTAGCCCGATCATCTTGGTTTTACCGTGACTGTATTAATTATATACAATATGATGGGTCTTCTTCGGTGCTTCAAGTGCTTCGAGCGATGTGCGAGTGCACTTTTGCATATCGAAGGATTTATATGACTGACAGCAGTCGATTGACGAAAAATTATCATTGATAATGGAACGTTGCATATGAACCTGACAGTTGTAGTACCTAATCCATCCATTAATGCATCAATAGCAACCTCGAGAAACCCACTGATCATGAACGAAGTATGATAATCTCAACGACGCGATCACGCGATTCGCGACATCGCAACGCTCGCGCTCCAGATATCTGGGGCAATTTATGGACTGCCCGGTCGAGTGTATCCATTGGGGCGATGAAATGACGAAGAAATATCGAGGCGTCAAATTCATGACGAAGAGCACAAGGCCAGAAGCGGAGCCTAACGAACAGTCAAATTTCTCCCTTTCACCTAGCCCATCACGCGACGAGGATAGAAACTATGACGGAATCCTGGCCGTACTGCATCTGACGCATCTGGTTCTAAATTTGTGACAAGTCTCGCTCTTCCTCTCTTCGCTCTGGATAACTTCAGAGTATTCTGTGCGTTTACTCGTCTCGTTCAATTCAACGACTATCCGTTACACATACGCGGTACAACCCATACCTCCTTCGACCCTCAAAACAAAAACGGGATGACAGCTCTCCGCTCCGGGGGATAGTCAGGAAAGCGGCTGTGGTACCACTTGTGTCCTCGATATGCACGCGGCAGCATCAAGACAACCTCCAGGAATACGAATGCGTATGGTGGGTGCAGCGTCTCAAGCAGCTGGGCAAAGGACTCAAACGACGGTGGGGGCGCAGCAGCAAGAGCAAACCCGAGCCACTCGCACCACTCGCAAAAATAGTTCGGGTACGAGATAAAGTGATATAGATACCCGTGGGGGACGGCGTAGTGCTCCTGGTTGCTCTTGCGCTTCCCGTTGTCGTCGCCGCCGCGCGCCTTGGCCTTCCCTTTGGCCTTGGCGTTGCGCCGGATATTGAGTAAGATCTCGTCGTGCAGGATGTTGCCTGCCAAACCCAGCGCCCACAGGCCGATTCCGGTCCAGAATAGAGGGCGAGAGAAGGCATCCGCGAGGAAGTGCTGTGCGTCGGGAGACGAGAGGTACGTGCCCATGAGGCTTCCGTTCAGGAGATTGAAGATCAGGCCCGACAATATCACGGATACGTGCGACTTTGAGCGCGATGGCGTGCGGAGGGGGGAGATGAGGGCGCGGTTGAGATAGTGAAGTAAGAACAGCACTGCGAGGAGGGTGGACGGGTGTTCGAGGGAGAGCGGGGGAGTAACCTCGGATGCCAGTGGTGCCTTGAAGTAGCTATATGCTAACATGAACGGGGATACGAGCTCCATCACAATCCACGACCTGATGCCTGTCCTCGCCGGAATTGGCCTTGCGCTCTGAGAATCAATAATGCTACTCACCGTCGACTATGAGAATACTCGTCTGAGAGAGCGCAAAACGTCCAAAAGGCGCATCGAAGAAGAATGTTATTGGAGACACCAGTGAGGGGACAATGGCGAACCACGTCCTCGCCGCTGCAGACTTCAGGGCATATAACCTTCATACGCGGTCTTACACTTACTGTCGTACCAAGCTCTCGCTGCGTCCACTGTAATTTGCATCCGTAATGCGATATATGCTTGCTAACGAGCAAAATTGAGGCTGGGTACTACTGGTGCGGTTATGGTGAAGGTCGTGGTATAGGAAGAGGCTTCTGTCGTGGTGGCACACGCGTCGTACTCACGCTCATCCCTTACAGCACTCTCATTCGCGACATTCTTCCATTGCTTCAGGCCTTGTCATCGGCGCATACAAAAAGCCAAGGGCGGCTTAAACTAGCCTGAAATACTGAAGACGCAAGTATTTCAGCATTCATGGGCGGAGCAGCGTCGAAACCAGTCCGTCAATTTCCCAAGTCTGTCAAGTCGTCACCGTCATGGGCAGGTGCACGTACTCCCAATCCTGGAGAAGTGCCCTCATCCAGACCAAACATTCCTCGTGCTAGCGAGACCAAAAACGAAGGTATGACAGTGCGCTAGGCTACAGAGCATACGCAGTGAACCGCGGCGCAAGCCATTGAGCGAGATTCAAGAGACCCTCAATTCATGGCAAATCTGAGCAAGCTCGGCGCCGTAAAGGTTGATCATCGCATGCAAACTGTCCGGCCTGTAAGTACCTATCCCTTCCCCTGTTTGCAATCACGTACGAGCCACCACCCGCAGGTTGCGGATGGCGTCCAAAATGCCTATCGCACGAGACTGCAGTCGGAAGCCGAGGCGACCTCCGCGAAGCCCACGCGCAATCGTCTCGTTGCTGCGTCCATAACGGAACTACTTCAGGAAAGAAAATCCTTGACCACACAAGAAGAGCTCGAGAAGTTAGCGGAGCGGTATGGCATTGACGTCGAGGCACTCGAAAATCTAGCTAGGTTTGTGAACAGCCCGAGTGTGGACAAAGATTCGGTTAGGAGGACTGTCAACGAGGATGGGATTGAGTCCCTCACCATGAAGGTCTGTCGATTGGTATCCCGCTGTACTGGTCATTGATCGTTTTCCGGCAGGCTACCTGGGTCGATCCCGATATGCAAGAGCAGCAGCTGCAGATTCGTAGCTAGCATGATTGATTTCGGAACCATAATTCGACCCACTTTCCTCTTGTTATGTGGTGTGGGCACCATACTTATTCGCGAAACATCTGGCTGAATATCAATGGCTTAGTGAATCAGAGTCTCCATACTGGCATATTTCGTCTAATCGAGCTCAAGGAGAGGATGAAGATGATCGCGGTAGTCTATCCTATAAAACAGTCTTTTCTAGTGACTGAACTAGTCGGTGCTTCTGACATCTGGCTACAGGGTATATTACGCGATTATCCGCAAGCTCGTAGAGTATCCATATCAATCCAAGCTCTGGGTTACCGCCAGCTTCTCGCGCCAGGCGCCAAGAAAGCGCCGCCTCCCAAGAGATTAGAGTCGCTAAATACAACAATTGGAACAACTATCGGCTACCATAGCGCACTTTGCGACCGAAATCAAACGGAATATATTTGTACTTGATCATATGCCTGTAAACGAGTGAGGATCATCGCGACTGGAAGATTGAGCAACACATACTGTATTTGCCGGCGCATCGTGAGCGTGAAGAGGATGAACCAATATATGACAAGGATTGGCCAGTACACGGGGATGTCGAAGATTTCAGACATAGTCGCGAGCAATGCAAGGAACGTTGCCTTGGTTGCAGATAACCTATCGGTGGCCTATCAGTTGTCCTGCTTATAAAGGAATGCAGCACGGACGTACCAGAACTGCCACTCTGGCAACCGCCTCACAAACGGTCTGAACTCATCATCTCGCTGTGACGGCAACGAGGCACCTGTATCCTCACCGCCCCCCTCGATCTCGTCCGCCAGCAGGTCATCCTGCAGAGAGGGGTCAAACTTGGGCTGGAGAAAGGCGAGTAGGAGGTTGAGGAGGTAAATTGCGAGCGCGTCTAGGACAGCTATGTTCAGATAATTTCTATGCAGACATGCAAAGCCAAACTCACAACAAACTAAACGAGCACATTTTGTCGTTCTTGTAATAAGTCATATGAGGAGAACAGGATGATAGGACACGAACCAATAAACCACTACAAATGCCACGACACCAGTTAGCTTAGCTCTACGCACGAGCGGGCCAAGATCATGCTTACTCCCTGCGAGAACAGTATTCTGAGCATAAATATCGATAACAGCCCTGCCGTGCCCAGCCATCTGTACAGCACGAAGGGCGTTAAGCGGTCAAGCAGCTGCTGGTATTGGCGTTGGACCTTCGTGAACTGTGCAGAGACATTGGGGGTGCCAGGTTCTGCGGAGGACATCATACTCGAGCTGTTCTAGCAGCAGGATACGGACACGTAGTAGTCGTCAAAAGCAAAGAGTCGAGGCGCAGATGGCGGGTTCGTCGGATCGGAAGCCTCAGGCGCAGCTGTGCTGTGAACCGGACAGTGAAAGCAGGGTCAGAAGATGCCGGCAACTGCCACGCATCTTGAAGCGGCGATGACCGATTTGCCCGCTGAGCTGAGTATGAATTTATGCTCCGTTCACTGTCGCCGCAGCTGCCGTGATTCACTCGATGGACAATGCTAGCGCTTCAGCCTTTTCTTGACCAACTCCTTGTCTTGTGAAGGCAGCCTATCCTCGCTCGCTTTGAAAATTTACCGAATGAATCATGATGGAAAACAGGTTTTATGGTGTTTACAACACTATTTTCACCAACGGATGCTTTACCGAGGACACTTTCATTGTTGAACCTCAGTACGCGCTCCCTGGAACCCAGGTTAGGGCCAAGTCGGGGCAATCCGCTGAGTAGTCACATACGTCGTTGAGGTTCGAGACTCCCCCCCGTTCTCTGCGAAAGTGAATCGTCCTACGCATCTGAAATATATATCGACAAGAGCTGCCGCGAATGACCGGATGAGGAGTCAATTCAGAATTTGTTCGATATGTGCCATATGCTGAGGCTGTATGGTATCAGCGCTCTAAGGGAAAAGGTATGCATTTACATCATGAACATTGCGACTCGCGAGATCGCGCCGGACCTGCTGCCGTTTTCGTCTACACATGCAGTGGACACCACTTCAGCATCGAGATGGGAACTGGACATCTCGACTGAGGCAGGTTATAATAAGTTCGTGTAGATTGTGGGCTGATGTGAAGCAGATGGCTCAAGCGTAAGTGGTCCTTTGACCTTTCTTCTCGATAGCTGATTCGCTACAAATGGTGCAATCCGATGCCGCAGTCTTTTTATCAATATGTTGGCCTCGTTTCTAGACATGTCGGAATACATATATTGATTGGCTGTAGAAAGGAGGACAATTGTATGTCGAGTTCGTTTAGAGAGCCATTTTTCCAATTGCAAGAATGTACCAGATTCGACTTGCTAATAACCGTTCCTGTGAGGATGAAGGTGACGGATACAAGCGCGAAGACGCGCACTCAGCTACACTTTTCGACTTTCCCTCCCTTGCGAATTCTAGAATGATTCTTACTTTGTTATCATCCTCTCGATGCTCAGGTCGAAAAATAAAGGCTACAGAGTCTCAGTAGAAATAAAATAATTGGATGTTGGAAAAGCTACCGGAGAAAAAGTTATGATCATGGCTAAGACGGCTCTCGCTCCCTCATTTATTATCAGCTTCCTTTGTGCAATGTTTCATAAGCTCATCCCGAGAGGTGGAACTTGTTGGCAGTCCTATACTCTTGTCCCACCTTCGTCGCCCTAATATGTTTTGTTGATCTCAATCCGGCATGTTCGCAAGTGGTTTGTATGTTGGCGCGTCGGAGCGGGGCCGGAGAGCAGGACATCCGCATCCCGCTCCTGTGGGATCTTGCATTTATGTTATTCTATCGCCCCCGATTTTCGTTTTTATGCGCTCTGTTTAAGATTCTGTCATAGGCCGCACAGCCATGTCAAGCAAGGTGAGAATGCGGTTGATTTGATGCTAACAATATTAACTACTCCCTGCCTGAATCACAGCCTGCAGGCAACCCGCCCGCCGTGCAGCTTATGCTGAAGCATGTCTTGAAAGAGCTCGCTCGCCATAAAACGACTTTCACGGCCACGAATATGTGCACGCCTCTTATGGTTGGCGTGCAAGGACCTCAAGGGAGTGGAAAGACATTCCTGACATCGCGCTTGCGGGATTTGCTCATCTCTGCGCCACACTCTCTGTCGGTCGCCGTGCTCTCCATTGACGATTTGTACCTCCCGCATGATCAGCTCGTGGCCCTCGCTGCTGTAAATCCGGATAATGCCCTGTTGCGCGGGCGGGGGCAGCCTGGCACTCACGATGTTTCCCTGGGCACGGAAATCTTGCGGAAATTGAAAGACATCAACAACAGCAGCGAGGAAGTCCTTCTTCCCCAATTCGATAAGAGTTTGTATGATGGCGAAGGGGATCGTGTCGCTGAAGGGACACCAGTCCGTCGTCATCTGGATATAGTCATCATGGAGGGCTGGTGTATGGGATTCTATCCAATTTCTGCTGAGGAAATAGACCGACGATGGGAGAATCCTGTCGACGGCCTCGGGGAGCATTTCTTTCAGGCGCGTGGGTTCAGAAAGGACGACGTCAAAGACGTGAACGAGCGTCTGAGAGGCTATTTGGCGTGGTGGGACAGTTTCGACGCGTTCATACAGGTAGGACATTACCCGTCGGCGTGTGCGGGTGCTGAGTCTGTGCAGGTTAAACCTGAGGATGCGCATCCTTATGTGCATATATACGAGTGGCGCCGGCAACAGGAGCACCATATGAAAGCCCTCAACGGTGGGCGGGGAATGACTGATTCACAAGTAGAAGCGTGAGTGATATACTCTGATCTCGGTAATTGTTTTAATTCGCAAAAGTTTCGTTGATCGCTATATTCCTGGATACGTCTTCTTTGGCGATGGCGTGGCGCAAGGGGAGCTGAATGTTTTGGGCGAAAAACAGCAGCCTCCGTGGTTGCAGCATGGTCTTCGAATAGAAATCAATGAAATGCGAGAAGTGGTGTCTTCGAGTACATTCTAAAGTACGTCTTATCGCATAGTCTTTCTTTGTCCAACGCGTTCTGTGTTTGACCTTATGTACTCGGCGATAGAGGCCAGACGTTTTTCGCGTTCAGCACGGCAGCACCGACGTAGATCAAAGTTTCCCGTAAATTTGCGGATTTCATCGAGCATAAACTATCGAGCACAGAACACAACGAATAACTGATTGTTTTCCATGGCGTGGATGCGGCCAATCGGCACCATGCAATTTTATGAAATTGAGCCTCATAAGCTCCAACAGGCACCGTCGGTCCTCCATCTACATCGCTGTCACATATGTATCACCCTTTATGTTTTCGCCATCAGAAGCTCAGCGTGGCTTCAAAATTCGTGCGTTTCGTTCATATTGCCCAGGCATATTCGATTGCTCTACAGTCGTATTTCTCCAATTTTCATGATATTTGATACAACGTATCGCGCACATATGTCCCGTGTGGTTCATACGTGTGCATCAGTCGTTGCGCGCCGTGATCATGCGCACAGACGTTGACTTTGCCGGACCAATATGCTCATTTGGCTCATTGTTCATGCTATGAGACATGTATTTGAGAAGGTGATGTACAAAAAGTCCGTTGTCCTTCCCGAACCAATGCCTTGTGCATTTCCCGTGCAACTACCCATGCAGGGTGTGATTCCTCCGGCAGTGGACATCACATTTGCGAGCCTGACGCTGCACAAGTTGAAGGGAATCTGCATAGGTGGCCTTTGTGTCCTCCGTGAATATAGGTACAATATTTGTATTTGAATCCATGACTTGATCAGATGGTGATTGGACGTTCACCCTGCAGGCTATGATGACAATGACCTCATGATCCCCATTAGAAGTCCGTCCTACGCACTACAACTTACTCCCTGACTGCCTGACCTTCGCCGGGAGCTTATAGGGATTGAAGTTCAATCAAATAACCTACATCTCTCGGCGTCCGTTAAGACCAGACCAGCTGACGATTGTACCTGTCGAACTCCCTCATGCCTCCAGCTCCCAAAGCTGACAGCGAGGTATAAAATCCAACCGGGGGTAACTGAGCTCAGCAGCAGCCCAACTTGCAGTCTAGCGGCAGCATCTACACATACAGTGCGCAAGGATGTTTCATATCTGCAGAGCAATGTATTCTCATGCCGTTTTCCAGCCCATGCGTTTCTCTGTCCCTCCCACCGTCCTCATTGTATTAGCCATCGCCACGAGCGTGGTATCCGCGTCCCCCGCTCCGGACCCGCAGGCAAGCATCCCCGCCGCGCCTTGCTCCGGTGATGGCGATGTCTGCACGACTACTGGGTTCGCTCAGTGCTGTGCGGGATTATCATGCTACACCGACATCTTTGGTCTCGTTGGTGTGCGTTAGAACAGCCTTTCTCCTTGTTGATCTCCGCTCATCGCTCGTATTTTCAGGCTTGTGTTCCTGGCTGAGGTTCGTTAATGCGATAGCACAACAGGACAATCGACTCGGTGAGTTTTGGACTTGCTAGCGGTCGAAACCCGTGATGAACGAGCGTGTTCAAGGTGCCTGTGTATAAATTGTGATGTAGAGGGCTATGACGTTTCAGACAGTGTCAACTATGTAATAAGTTGATTTACTCCATTTATGCAACTATGTTTGACGGCACACGAAAAACATCTTGCTGCATCCATGAAGCAGTTGTAAGGTTCAAACAATCCTTGCTGCCGTCAAAGAATGCGCTCGAAATTCCAGACAGCTCTTACAGCAAGAATGGATCTTCTCACATTAACTACAACATCGGTTGCCTGACTGAACTTCTCCAATATTCATGACATAGAAACCTGCGATCTCAAACACTGCGTTAAACGACCATATCTCGCGCCCGAATTATCTCCCAAAGAACAGAGGTACCACCGAACCCACGGTTGCCATTCAATGATTGAATCCCCGACTCCTGACCGTCATACCTACCGGGTTCCGATAGACCGCCCCCGCACTGTACCTGTACTTCTCTGCATCACTCAACACACGATCCTGCACAAATTCATACCGCTGCAACATCTCCTTCACCATAATTTGAATACTCTGCAATGCAAACCACCGTCCGGGGCATAGGTGGGGCGTGTCAGGACCAAAGCTTATGAACCGGTCGCTACCAATCGGCGGATCCTGTTCGACAAATCGGTCGGGGTCGTACAATCCTGCGTCTTTGCCCCATGCGCTTGGCTCCCTGTGGTGATAGTAAGCCGATAGCGACACGGCCTGTCCCTTCGGGATGTATATTCCAGGCTCAGAGGGCAGCTGGAATGCCTGCAATACTGTGCGCGCGGGTCCCGTCGCGGGTCCAGAGAGCCGGATAGACTCAAGCGTTGCGCTACGTAGGTATTTCCATTGCTCCGTCCTGGCCATTGAGAGACTCTTCAACGATGCGCCCCCAAGCGAGGCAAGGATCCGATACTGGAACCCAGGTCGGTTAACGATGTCGAAGAATGTACTCGTCAGCGACGCCTGTAAGTTCGTAAGTCCCATCCACGCGAGCAGACTAAGCATGTCCGACGCCTTCTTGTCATCCTCAACTTCGAGGAGCACAAAGTTCAGCAAATTGATGTCTTTGCTCTTGCCAGCACGGCGTTGCTTTGCAATTATAGGCATAAGAATCGGTCGTATTCTTTTCCAGTCTGCTACGATGGGTCGGCGAGCAATGAAGCGCAAAAACGAGGGTAGGAGCGTAGCCAAACCCATGGCATTGACAGAATCGTCATTGAACTTCAGGAATACCTCTAATAGCTCGGGATTGTCGAAGCCTTCGGGACCCACTACGCAGCGGGACACCACATACACGATGTACTGGTAGAGATAATCATTCAGATTTGCATAATGTTCTGAGGTCCGGTCACGCGCCACGAGCGGATGTGCTGCGAAGAAGGAATGCGCCGCGTCTTCGACTGTCTTTGCAAACCCAGCAAGCGTCGCTTCATCGTGAAGATGGGCTCGAATGATCTTCGTATGGAGGTCAGTCGCGAAGTTTGCGTCGCCGGTAATGAGAGGAATGTCAACGCTAGCAAGGAAGTCATGTAACGAGAATTTGACCTCATATGGCCCATCGTCAACGATAGCCTGCACATCTTCGGGCTTGGTGAGGATGAACTGTCTGGTATTAGCTAATTCCAGTCCAAAAACCTTGCCGTTCCACCTCTTCATGCCTTCGCTGATCAACACCGTGGGGTCGGCTTTGAACTGCAAGGCCACACCCAGGATTGGCCACTTCCAGATTAATGGCGGCTCCCTGGGACGGATCTCACGACGCAACACCCACACGACAAGCATAACAGGAAGAGCCATCGACGCAGTCACTAGAACCCTGTTATGCTCTTGCAAAAACTTCAGAACCTCAGCAGCCATCAAGAGCATCTCTTTCCAGTCCGTCTTCGTCTTCTCGAGTGCGCATAATACCGGGTTCGTCTCAGGGTCGTATGGGAAAAGGGGATTCTTCTGCAGACACTTCACATCCGAGTTCTCGGTGATCAGCCTCCATAAAAGATTTGTCCCATGAGCCTGGAAGTCGAGCTCCTTCAGCCAAAATGTGTCGAACCAGCGCGCTCGCGGGAAGCCTTGAATAGGGCGTGGTTCCCAGAGCAGCTCCTCGAGTGCGTTGCTCGGCGTACAGTCCCAGGGAGCGTCGACGAGGAGACAGCGCATGATGGCATATCCGACAGAGAAGCGATCGGAATTTCCCAGACCAAAGAGACTGAAGAGACTGATGATGAGGGCTGAGCTGGGCACAGTAGTCCCTGGGAACATTTTCTCTTCGAGTTGGCATCCAACGACAAGGTCAACGTCGTCTGGACGCTTATACAGTCGCTTGAGATTCGCGACAGCCTCAGAATCAGTGGAGAAGTCTTCAAAACGCTGTCGGATGGGAACCTCAACTGCAGGCTTGTGACTATTATATGCGCGAAAATATTGATTGAAAGTGGGCAATCTGCAAAGCATATGAAGGACAAGGGTCAACAAAGCGCGCATATAGTCATGGCAAACGTACCCTTGTTCTCGCTCGTGCACGATACTCCATGTAACGATATCAAACGGCTTGCCTCTATACTGCCCTGCAGATCTAAACGATTCGTCAACTCCGGACTTGAAATTGGGTATATTTGTCGCCACGATACCGCGCAACACGTTCTCAAGCCCAGCTTCCACGAAACCCTTGGCGTCGAACGCACTTTCAAACAAATCCTTCTCGCGTATCGTCCTGTTCTTCGCGTCTTTGAGCGGGAAGGAGGGAATGATGAACTCATGGAAGCGATACACGATCGCCATTTCCGCTGATGCGACCATCGGTTTACCACCTTTTGTCACTAATGGCCACGGATAGTTGTGCACCGGATTGATGTGCAAAGCGTCAGTGCCATACATCTGGCGATAGAGGGGGAATCCTGCACAAATCCGCGTTACTTCAACACCATATTGTTTTAGGTACACAATACACACTCACCATCATCGCGCGGCCAGGGCATCGAATCGTTCCCAGAAGTTTGCCAGTACGCCATCTGGTAGGAATTCGCTATTAAGGCGAACTTTGCCGCCATAGCAAGTCGAATCGTCTGGTATATGCGCTCATCGTCGTACTCTGGATGCCGTACCGCGAGCAAGTCACACATCCTATTGTGGTCTCTCAGGAGTAGAGTATGGATTGCGAGCATGATCCAATCCTCATTGGTTCGTGGGTCTCCTCCAGCGAACAGACTCCTGACATCTACACCAGGTCGTGTACGCATCGAAAGACCATCGGAATTGAACGGTAAGTAGTTCCCGGGGGAGGTGCGCAGCTTGCCCTTATCGAAGGAGCGTAGAGCGCGCGATACTTCAATGGTACTACCGTAGAGAGCACTAACGTCGAGCCATGTCGTCGCCTGGTTTGCATTCTCGCGCGAGTTTTTGTGCGACGACCCCGTACCAGGAACAAACTCCGTACGCCAGACGCGGAAGGTTGTATTGAGTGGGAAAATCTTTTCGTCTTCAGGGACTGAAACGTCGATGAATTCTGTCGACGAGTCCTCACTGTATGTTACATCATGCATGATGAACTGACCAGGGACTTAATGATTGTTTTCCGGTGTATCAAGAGTGGGCGTACCTCAATAAGTCCGAGTAAGACGGGGGTGTGCTCGTAGTATATCTTTTTCTTGCGTTGAAAAAATGCATTGCTGACAGCCCGTGGATTGGGGCCTTCTCGCGGCTCGCTGATACCATCGCGGTAAGTGTAATGGCCATAATCCCGGTCTCGTTTGCGTCCAATTTGGCCGTAATCGGAATGCCCAGCTTCCATCCAGTTGCAAGATCCATCTACGGTACGATAATACCATTTGGCCTTGTCGCTAATGCAGATGGGGTCAACAGGGTAACCAATCTTGGAAAAGAGCTGAAACGCATCCTGTTGCGAAGGAACCACATGAGATGTGCTCAGTGCTTCCTGAGGGACATCAGCTGGAGCCTCAGGAAATTCAACGTGCTCCCAGAGCTCCTCAACAGACTGCACATACTCGGGAATGGCATTACCACGAAACGGGCCCTGTAGCGTCTCGTTTGCTGCAACTGCAGAACGAAACCAGGTGAGGAAGAGGTCTTCAGGCTCTGGCTCTGGCACGAGACCTCGCTCCCGCGTTGATTTGAGAATACGAGCACGATTATAAGGCCAATGAGAGGCAGTTGCGAGCGGCAGAGCCACGAGGACGAATGCCTGGGGCTTCACCATCGCTTTCCGCCTGAATCGAGCAGGGCGGGCAGCATATATAAAGCTGCAGGAGAGGCATGGCACACTATGCGAAGAAATCAGTGGTTGGACAGACAACGTTTTAGAACATGTCACTGCTGATCAGCATTAAGAAGGCGGCGAGGGGTGTGAAGAGGACAAGACAACTCTCCTGGAATCATAGTACAGTCATCTTGCCCGCAGCATAAGCGTCGCCATGTTTCCGGTAAGCAAGGGAGAGGCCAGGGTACTTATGAGGGGCCTCCGAGTCAGGCTAGGTTGAGGTACATGTTCAGTGATCATAGCTGGTGCTAAAAGCACTGTCTGTGGTGATGACTGGTGTGAAGAGTGCTGACATCTTGACAGTGGCCCAGAAGTATTTGCATCGGCGCGTCGGTCGCGATAGGAAGCCTTTGACAGGGGGCGTAACTTGGAGGTCGCGCTGTACGACTCTGCTGCACTTGCAGAGCGCGGCCATTGCGGCTAGGGTCCGTTACGAGCACCACACAGCCCAAGTTACAAAGGTGCTAACCAGTCAGGCGAGGAGGGTGACTCGGAGGTAGTTTTAATCAAAGTTACTCCTCAGTACGAATGCGCTGGTCATTATGCGGCTCGGGATCATGCCATCCGATGCATTGGTCTCGTGTCAAAGACACGTCTGGGTACGATGCATCAGGTCTTTGGCGCCGCCGCCGGTAAATGTCGAACGAGCCTGCGAACTGCCTGGGATAGTTCTGTCGCCGCCGGTCCCCGGTGCATGCTGAAGCCGCTTGTACTCTGGCATGCACAGATTGGAGAACCCTCGCGTGTTCAGTTCGATGATCAGTATTACGCAACAAATTCAGACCAGTTAAAACGAGTCAGACTGCAAGAAACATGCAAAATAAGACTCGTAATCCATGGTATATATAAATTCAAAGCAGGCTCTTGCTCACAAAAAGTGACGCACCGGGTCAGAGTTACTCTTAGAAACATGCTTGAAAGACTCGGAGTCGGTGTACACTACCTCGCAGATTAACTTGGCCATCTGATGATCGACGCCCTGTAGAACAAGGTACAGCTAGATCTGACACGAATTGGTAGCCTTCGGGTTGCCGTATCCCTTAGTCACGCTACTGGAGGGTCGAATAATAGCAGTGTCAGTAGATATGATCGAAGGAAGGGACGTGTAGTATAGCACGAAAGATCACGCTCGAATGCACAAGATTAGCGGCTGTAGCGGCGTTGGTGGCTTCCTGTATGTTGACAAGCAGAAAGAGAATACCTCCTGTGGAACTACTTCCCCATGTTTTTGGTCAATTGGGAACAAGCCTCAACGGTCTTGTACAGGTGCGTTGAGGCAGAAAATTTAGGCGCAAATACGTCATTCTGTATTAACTTGCACGACTACTGTATGTGCTGTTCCTCATCGACATCGCCGTGACGCCGCTGATAGGATCTCTACCCAGAGACAGATCCCCCTATTCTTGTAAATGTCAACATATGACAAGTGACGTATCCTCTTTCGTAGCCGGCCGCAGCGTAAGAAAAGAGATATAACCATTTCTTCCTGAAGGACTCGAGCCGCGAAGCCTCGGCCAAATCCGGTCGTTCTTGCGCCACGGCATTCATAACTGACCGATCCACGTTCGCACGAAAACGTTGTTCCCACTCCCGTAACGTCCTAGCGTAGTCTGTCGAAAACCAAGCGTTCAATAGCTGCATACAGCGAGCTTCGAGGAATCACTAACGTTCCCCGTGGTTTTCAATTGTGTCTAGGTTGAGCTGACTGGAAGAACCGACCTGCGCCGCAGTGATGAGTGCTGTCACGCTAGGCAGCGTGCCATTTGGCCACAGATACTGGCGCGCAAAATCAGGAGCTCTGAAACCCAGAAGATCAGTCTTGAATGCAGTGGCCATGGATGTTCGCGTACTGGTATTTATCGTATCGGCTCTCCGGCATGGTAGAGGAAGATATCACAGCGATTGCCCGATCTACTTTGAGTGCCCAGTTGACGATACGAAAGTACTCTTCGTAGTATCGTGGCCCAACGTGCTAGTATGCATTCCTTTTAGCATCTACACCATGCCTTGGATCGTGATCTAACCTCAAGCATCTCAATACTAATGAAAGCATCGAATGCTTTCTCAAACGATGCGGGAAGACTGCGATAATCAAGCAGGTGTACTGTGATTAACGAGCTCAGTCCCGCCTCCCGGATGCGCTCCTCGCCGAATGCTTTCTGAGCCACCGAAAGTGTCAATGTATCCACTGTGCACCCATATGTGCGAGCGGCCTAATAAAGGTCAAAATATACGTGCATCGCAGGATGACGGAGGTAGAACAGCACCTCAATGGCTGTTGAACACCACCCAGAACCAAATTCCAGGATACGATCGCCCTTTCGGATCCGAGCGCGTCGCAAAAAGTGATGGATTTTCCTCATCTCTGCGTTTTCAAGGTCGCGACTGCCGCATTTCCTAAGCTCCATATCTCCATAGACACCCCCTTCTTCGTCGCTAAACAGAGCGGACGAGTACCTGAGGTGTAAATTCGATAATGAGCAGAACACATATAGCTCCACAGCATCTCACATCATGTCTTCGCTCAGGAATGCCTCCGGTGTGTAATTAGCGAGCTATTCCCTCATTCATTTTGAGTTGTCAGCACTCACTTTGAACAGCGTGTTCGATTCGTCGTATCCAGCCACCGCGTTCAGCTTCGCCTGAGAAATGGATTGGCCTAGTATGTAGCTTGTCCACTTGGTCAACGTAGAGTAGAATATGTGGGCATATGTAGAGAGTCCTTCCAGCTGTGTCATATTGTCAAGCCAGAGCTACCACATTGTTAGATTATGTGTGCGACTTGATGAAGTGAACATACATCATGGATAGGCCTTAGATGCTCGACCTCTATCTCGCCCAACATATACGACTCGGAGACTGGATACCAAAGATCCTGAGACTTAGGCTTACATAGCAAGAGAGTGCTCACAGCCTAAATCGTTCCTCCTGCATGGCATACGTCAGCAGATAAACACTTAAGTATGTTAGAATATATTGTATACGTACAGAAACAAGCGTAACCAAAACGAGTCGCTCACGACAACAATAGTAGGTGTAGATTTTCCCCTGTCGCCCTGGCCAAACTCATACGTTTTTGAAGATTCTAAAATTACCAGTGTACCGTGTCGTATCCCAGAAGACAACACAGAAAGAACATATTTGCGTGCTACCATACAGTTGTATCAGATCAGTAGATTGTTCGCGACTCGAAATTCCGCTCACCGTATGTAACCATTAGCTGTCTTGGGACACTGAATGTGCTCGATAATGACACCTCCATGGTTGTTGGGAAGACTGATATGCAACCAAGTGTAGGGCGAAGACATACTACACCTGTCTATTTGAGTCCTGTCTAAAGCGCTCAAGTGTTGTTGAAGTCTCCGTCAATTTGGAAGTCACAGTGCCACTCTACGCGACCGCTTCGACCCTAAAGTTTTATTTGATAACGATCACGTCGTAGCTCATGGGCTGGCGTGCTGGAGAGGAGAACGCCGCTGAAAGGTGTTTTTCAAATAGGTCTAGTTTCAAACCCATTCAAAAGTGCTTGCCGGGTCAATGTGCGAGCATACTGCCCGAGGTACCCGAGGGCGCTAAGTGCATACTTGCAGATGCTGGTAATACCACTGCTCAGCAACCCTGTGCTTCATCGGCTCAATGAGCGCTATCCTTACAACATTGTATGACAGTGGCAGGGACTTTCACCATTCCAATGTATGATTGCTACCCTAACACCTTTTCGGCCATCAATTATCTGCATCCTCAACGACAAAAAGTGGCATATAACATACATCGACCATGTTTCTGCATCGCTAAGTCACGGTGCCGCCAGGGTGCCGTCATTTCCCGCACAACAATGTCCGACATAGAATACTGAATGACAACGTGCGACTTGGCGAGCTGTCAGCAGATGACTGGAACGAACAATGTTGATATTGAATCGGATGCAGTTGCTTCGTGCCGAGTTGGATAGACTGACCAGAAATCTTCAAGGGTCCGCCCGCAATCCAGGTGCATGCGACGCTGGCAGAAAATTTTATGAGTGTTCATGGCAGAGTACGGAATGTGTGCCAAGCATGCTCATGTCTTACTTCATTGAACTGGTATCTCGGAGTTGGAGAACAGGAATCGGTCACGCCAAGTAAGCGTATGGATAAGAGGCTGGGGAGTGAAGAAGACCAATTGGGACAGGAAGTGACCGTGAGCATCCCGGGGAGAAAACAACAAACAGAGCAGACCTCCAGAGAAACCCGTTCAAATCTGGGAAAGACCTAACTTTGTGGCTCATAGTGATAATACTAGACAAGGAGTGAAGTCATCCACATCCGAGGTTCTGTCGTCTGAGCGACTGAAACTCTGAAGGCGCGCCAAAGCAGCGACTTCTGCTGAGCAAGCTGCAAAACGCGTGGAAGGTAGGAATGAAAATATTCATGCAGCAAGACTTTCGTCCGTCGCTGACCAAAATTTTTCCGGAGACCCAGGGAAGACACTGGGTTTTTGTACCGAACGAAAACTGCAGTGCCCACGGGAGACATGTCATTTATTCTGCATCATTCATGCATTCAAAATCGTAAGACATTCTCGGAAGCTTCATGTAGCATTGAGCGATTGAGCATGACATTGGTCATATTATAGTTTGACCATCTTCAGATCTACTCACCTACGACCTCTACATATATCGCACATCCTTGCGTCTACCTTGTCTTCTAGTGTCGGTTAACAAATTGTTTAGGAAACCGGAGTCACCCAGTCTGCCATCATACCACGAGTGGCGTTTTCGCCATTAGCGCGAGGATGTCCCAACCAATATTCCCTGCGGCGATTTGCGTAATCTCAGCTGAAATAATGATTGGTCAGAAAAAAATTCGTGAACAGCCTTCGGATAGCATACCTTGGGAATCGTAGCCTATGCGAATCATATCAGTCAGTATATTTATCGATTGGATAGCGATCAGATAAACGCACCCGGAGCAACTTCGACAACGTCTGCGCCCACAATTTTGAGGCCATTTAAGCCCTGAAGAATCTTTCTCACTTCCTTATAATGGATGAAATTACACTGAAAGTGAGCAATGCGCACAAACGAAGATTGGATTGAAGTCATACTCTAGTAGTGAATCCGCCTATCTCGGGACTATAGAGCAATGTTCAGCTACAACGACTCCATGAGAAGGGATAGGTGTACGCACGTCCCAGTGCTACCAACAGAGATTGTGAGCCAATTATATCAACAAATGGTCAATGAACTCACGCAGGTGCCATCCCAAGGTCTATCACGTCTATATCGAATGAAACTATTCCATAAATTCAGATCTAGTTCCACGTGTGTAGCATTCTAAGGTATCGCTTACTGTATACTGGGTTGTCTCCAACCGCATCTCTAATCTTCTTTACAATGCCCTTGTAGCTGATATCTTCTATTTCCTCAGCCTGGATGATCACGAAGCCTGCTTCGTAATCGTCATCGTAGTCTTGCCAGCTGTCCAGCGCACCGTGTATACCCACGTGCTGGAGATATTTGGAATGATGTGAGACATATTGCATGAAGTTAGTGGTGATATGTCGCGTACGATATTAGAGTGATTTGACGCCAGGAGACCCTCCTCGTGCGCGTGCCAGAAGTAATTATCGTGTGTCACTGGGATCTCCTGTAGAATGAGAATGAGTGGAACAAACCACAAAATTGTTTACAGGCAGACCAACTTCATCTGGAAGCCACGGTCCATCGGGCTTGGTGTGAACAAGGATTAGCTTATGATGCATTACATACCTATAACCGCTTACCACTCTTCGTGGCTTCCAAGTATCTGAGTAGAACAAATCCAGGCCGCCGCATACGTACAATAATATAGCGACGTACCAATGTGGCTATCAAAATGAACGACGCTGTAGTAATATGAAATCTCAGCCTCAGCGTCCTACTTAATGAAACGCACACCCGACCTGACCGGACCGTATATTTGAGCCATGCCCCGTAGCATCGACAGTGTGATAGTGTGATCTCCGCCCTGTAAATATGCAACATTAGTACTGTATAGGCTACATGCGCGAGAATTGCTAATGTCACGCCCTAGTAGTTTAGGCGTATGACTTACCAACGTCAGAATCCGAGGATGGAAACTCCCGTCCCTTGCTATACTTTCTCCCTCGTAAATGCGAAGGCTCTTCTTGGAGAGGATGGCAGAACTAGCTAGCTCGAGTTGTCGCAGAGCAACTTTGTTGTCTATGTAAACCATAGCTAAAATGCACCTTCATCAGAAACTGGAACGTGACTATGAATGTATTGCACACACGGACGTCACCGCAGTCGACCACTTCGAGGTGCTCGCTGACGCGCACTTTCATGGGAACATTGATTCTGGAAATCCCGAGACGTCTGGCACCTTGACGTATGCCATTAGGACCAAATCGTGCCCTTAAAAGAGATGGTTTGGTCAGAAATTCTTCGTCGGACCAAACGAGTCAGCTCACCCTGAACGATATGTCGTGGCAGTGTCGAAGGGCGCGCCTGGGAAACATGAAATTCACACAAAGACACGACATGGAGAGTGGGAGATTCATACCAAGCACGGCTACATCGAAAAGTACCCCTGCATCGGCCCCGAAACATCGCAATGGTAGTGCGCCCGCGAACGTCGTGAGACCATTCCAACCCTGCTCAGCCCAAAAGAACGGCTCTTCCAATCCTGAAGCGCGATTTATGCGCGTATCTGAGCCATTTCCCGCTAACTTCCCGCAAAACTTACGCGTCGACTCAGCGGTCGTCCCGCCGGTCAGGGAGACTTGCTCCCCACTCGCGGCAGTCCTAACAACATAGACTGCGAGCGTGACCCAGATACTCAGCAGGGAAAGCGAACATTGCGGAAACATCAGGAAGGCGTGCGAGAAGGACGGATACCAGTACGACTAACGTTGGCGCCCGCCAGAGCATCCCGTCCTCCACTTTATGTATGTTTTTGCGGCGCTGAAAGAATCGGACGCCGACACTGAATCTAGGCCGTTCGACTAGTAGTATGCCGCCTTGACCGTAAGTGGCATCAGGCCGGTGTACGTGAAGGCTGAATAATGAGTGGGATGTTATCGCGTATTCCATGATGCAGAGATGGTCTTTGGCGAACGCACTCATGTTCCCCAGCGGAACCGAGAGCTTTCTCTCATGAGGTATTAACGAGGAACCGTATATCCACTGGCGTTCAAGTAAGTCGCGTAATGGGCTTAGCCATCATTGACGCATCTTCAAGTTCGCTAAATTCTGTCGCGGTCCCGTCGAAGTCACGGCGTGTTGTTGATGAAATTGCACAAGGTACTGAGCGTCAGTACAACATCGGGAGCAGCTCAGGATACTAAATAGTAAGAGTTAACCCCTAATGGAAGTTTCAATAATTGAGCTTGGATTTTAATTTTCGCAAATCTAATTGGTGTGGGGCCGACGCGCTACAAGTTCTCAAACCTACCGCGCCCGGTAGGACCATCCAGAATGGAATTTAGTACTGGAGAGATACAGTCTCTGCTTGACCGTAAGGGCGACCAGCGAGACATGATTCGTACCGCGGCCGGTACGACACCCTCCGTTTTTGGAGGCTCCCGCCTGCCGAGCCGATTTGGAGGCTGACGGAACTCAGGGGGTCGACAAAAAAGAGTGATATACCTGGCGGGTAGAGGAAATAGGAGTGCGCACTCTCCTTCTTGCACCTCAAGGATCCCGCCAGATATTTTTTTTAATTCGAGCTCGGAGAGCGCACTCTCTTTCGTGGCTAACAAACGGATCGCGCCAGATCCCTTTTCGCATACCCACCATCCCTCCCTATCCATATAGCATTTTGTCCTGTATTGTCCGCAGTCTTTCGAACCGAAAAAATGTATTTTTAGGGCGTTTCCGGTGGGCCAAAAGCCATCGGGACGCTGCGTCACGCCAAACGATGGTTTTGAGAGTCCTCGCTTGGACAACAGTCCGAACTGCTGCCAATTATATAACGATGTCATTTGGATAAACAAATACATAAATACATCAATGATGTTGAGTTTTTATAAGAAAACCATCGGTTTACTGCTCTCAGCTACACATGGAAGTCCTTTACCCTCTCCTTTTATTCTTGTATTACTCAACTGGGCGCAGTAAAATGCAGGGTAAAGGTCAGAGTACTATCGGAGACGGCCTTACGGTACCCAACCAACACCCTCATAATCTGTACGGCTACCTTGTCGGCGCAGTAATGAGACTGGAACTCCCGGTAGCCCGCTCTCTGCAATGTGCGCGGAACGCGTTCACCCTATACAATGTGTAGGTATAAGGAAGCGCATTGGCTACCGGCGAGCGTCGCCGGCCTCTCGATCCGTAGCGACCTGGGCGAGTAAGTATCTCCCAGCTAGATCTATGATAGACTGGGGACGTGGAGGAACGATCCCGAGCGCTACTAGTACCCTGGCCCTGCTCCAGTGTTCATGGGAGACGCTGACGACCAGGCACCTCGAATATCACTCGCTCAGTGATGGGGAACTTTAGAGCCTGACGGCGAAGGGTGCGTACCGGAGAATAAATCAAAGAGTTTTTAATATAACATTAGAAAAAGAGCTTGACATAAGTAATGAAGTGATGGTTTGTCTCCGCACTCCTGAAGTCGGATGAACGTATGAGCACATTTGCCTCGGAACTTGATCTCAAACTCAGTGACATAGACTCCCAAATACGAAACGATTGGCACAGCATCACATTTGACGTACGGCCGCACTGCAGCGGTCCGACTGACTTGTCATACATCCACTCGTACAATTACATCGAGCATCAGACAAAAAACACCATGAGATGGCGATGAGCGAAGGGCGAGCGATCCCTGCCGAGGACAGGCGCGGTGGCCTACTGTCTTTCAACAGGCACAGGCCTTGGATGACTGAGCGCAGTTGCAGTCCACACCGCTGCCACCACAAGAACACTAATATGTCTTTTGGTTAAAGAACATGGGCTGAGACAGCTTCGGAGGCACGCACGGCGCTGGAATGAGTCTTGTTAGGGCAGTCGGCGCAGTTGCACTGTCCCTTGGTGCAGGCACAGCCGGTTCCACTTGGTCCGCAAGCGCTGCACCAGCCGCACGACGTCATCAATATATGAAGATGACGCAAGTCGGGTGAGCCACATACCCGCAGTTGTTCTGACAAGTGCAAGCCATTGAAGAAATATATGAAGCTTGGTTTGTAGCGAGTTGGTTGCAGAACGATAGAAAGGAGCACTTGAGAGCCGTCGAAGAAGTACGGGGGTTATATATGATTCCGCGCGCCCCAAAAGAAAGGAGCCCAGAGGCATGTGAATGACGTTTACCATGACGGGCACAGCAGTTACCCCAGTTTGTATACCATCTCACGCTTGTAAAAGTGGAGGTGCCATACATTGCAATTTCAGGATTTATCTTTGCTTCGAATTTGGCCGCAAGAGAGCGGATACCATTAGCCAGTGCGTGTCTTCCAGCATTCGCAGCAATCTATCCAATCTCGCATATGCACTGCGGGGATATGCCGAGTACCCCTACTTTGTCCGCTGTAACTTACCAGACACATAAGTACTTAGTCGTCACATTTAAGTGCCGGAGTCAGGAGCGATAACCCGTATCCATGTATCCAATCCTAGGCACTAGCTGCATTACTGGTTAGTATTACTGTATAACAAGGATACTGGCAGAAGAAGCCTTGAATCCAATCCTAAAGTAGTGGCAGCAATTACTATAAGACTGAAGAGCACGGCCATGGAAAATGAGTAATAGTACACGAATAGGGTTAGGTTTAGACAGCTCACTTTCCGTCACTCCTTGGCATGTTCAGAGTGATCTCTACCGCGACCCTTTCTACGCTCTGACAGAAATCGCGTGAACTTCGATCCTCGCCGCTCCTGTTTCGATTCGGCCATGAGATCATCGTTGTTATCTACCTGACCTTGTGGGTCGCTGTCCTTGTCCTTGTCCTTATGTCCGTGGTTGTGCTTGTCCGGAGTCTTCGTCAGGAATTCTACCAAGACTGACCAGAGATTATTACCGCTGATCACGTGCTCGTCCGCGAGGAACGCCTGATCTGCAATCCTCGCCAATCGCCGCGCCTCCCCCGTATCTCTGCGCGCGACAATACTGCTCGGAGGTGGTTCCTCGCCCACATCGAGCGCCCACGCCCACGGCCAGCTGCCTGTGGCCATTAGTCCCTCCTGGATGCCTCGCGGCGGCTGGGATTGGCCGCTCGGTCTGTGGACGGCTTTCTCATCTCGACTCAGAAACGTCTGCAGATGTGCCATGTTCCGCATCGTGTCGCTCTGCGCGCGTACCAAGTTCCGCTGACGCTTCTCCTCAATGTATTTTTCCACTTTCGCGAACTTCTTCGCGAACTTGGCTCGCCCGTCAAAGTACCTGCGCGCAACCAGCTCAGACATTACTCCAATAAGCTCGGCGGGGAACGCAAGTGCGGGAAGTTCCTCCTCAGCTTCGAGGGCACGGATAGTCCCATCTGTCGAGATCCTTTCCCGAATCATGATATCCTGAAAAAGAGGCGCCACATATCAACATCAGGACATACAGTAATGCCAATGTGACATACCAGCCCGTTATCGTAGACAGATGGCTCTCCCGCAGTACGACCCCTCTCTCGCCTTGACAGGGTGGAGAAACGGGGCCCAGCGACATCGCTTGATTGGGATGATTCCCCCGCGGCAACCCCTGAAGACTGCCCGTTTCCCCACTGGAACAAAACGCTTGCCCGATGAATCTTTGCACTTACTACTCTTCTCAGATTGCCTTTCGAGGACGGACCAGCTTCACGCTCGATGATCGCGCTCCTCGGCGCACGCAAGCGCGGACTGATATCGCTGATGCTAGACGACGAGGACTGACTAGTTGGCATCAGAGATGAGGAACTAATCGAGTGGCCCTGAGGAAACAATGGGTAATCTGGGGTGCGAGACGGGCTCTCGACAGGCGAAGTGGTGATAGGAACGTCATCTGAAATGATCGAAGACGGCGTAGGGAGCATGCCCGTCGTATACTTGCAGAAAGTCGCGATAGCGCGATAGCAATACTTGGCCGGAGTCGTGAACGCGAATAGAGTGGGGAGCGTATGAGCCGCATCTTCACACACACGACAATCAGGTGCTAATAATAGACTTATGAAAACAGCTCACCGTCATATACCTGCAGATGCACCTTCGTAGGACCAAACCGCTGTTCTATTCCGTCTAGAGCAGGATACATTTTACGTGTTTCCTCTTTGACGCGATATTTATCCGGATAGGCAGCTTTGTGAGCGCTTTATCACACAGGACAGAATAAGCCACACGACCACTGAACAGACGTAAAATCACTTACAGATATATGATCTCGTCTCTGAGGACTTCCTTTTCGCTCACAATGACTAACAGTGGGGGAAGGCCACCCAAATACGAAAGCGCAGAACTGACAAGAGGATGTGTCAGCAAGTAATTTGGCGTGTACATCTGTAGTTGGCTGTCTATCGTCAGAACTTCCCCGGATTGTGTCTGAAGGCAGATGGCCTGGTTCCGTACGGACGTAGACGAGTCCGGCAGTGACGCCGTAGATCCTAGATGCAACGTCTCCCCGCTATGTGCATCGAGGAACTGGTGATCGGTGCATCCTGGTCCCTGGTCTTGCACGGAGCGATCGGCTGCGTCTGGACTTGTAGGCCTGCTACCCATGTGTACAACCTCGCGGACACGACTGCGGATGCTATCCTGCATCTTGGATGTGAGCTCGTCTGGTGGAGGTGGCCAGAGCGTGCTGGGCTTGTGAAATGACAGTCCATATGGCGGCAGAACGTCCTGCTCAAACAAAACGTCAAATAAGGAAAATTAGACAAAAATACAACGTACGGTGGCCGTATTAGTATGTATACTGGGGAATGAATGTGTCATGTCACACCATGGTGATATGAGTACAGCGCCTGCTGGCATCGGCAAACCCGAATCACGGATGACCTGTAAGAGAGATACCGACAGGCCTCCTCCTGCAGAATCTCCGGCCACAACAATATGTGCAGGGTTGACAGGACAATGCGAGGCGCCTTCAGGCGGCCGGATGAGGTACAAATCTGTGAAAGCAACGATCAACATCGAGGACACACGACAAAATCAAATGTCAAAAGCACATACAAGCGGCGAGAAAATCTTGTAGCGCGCAAGGGAAGGGGTACTGGGGGGCAAGTCGATAATTTATTGCTAGATGACAGGTATAAGCGCTCTCAATGTGCTGACAGAATGACTGCGCGTACCGAACACACGACCATTAATCTTCCTGGCGTAGCGCTCAAGACTGTACCTTTCCTGGTCAATACTACCAAAGTAGTATCCACCTACATATAATGTTCTGACGATAAGACAATGTGCCAGAGAAGATGCTGCTCACCACCGTGAGCATACAAGATGCATCGCATCTTATCCATCTCGGGATCATACACCGCAGGCATCTCTTGTCCGAGATCGTCGCTCGTAGCCGCTTTATGCGCATCTTTAGCTTTGCCTTTCTCCTTTTGCTGCGCCTTGCGCCGTCGTTTAGCTTCTGCCCAATCCTTCTTGGCCGTTAACCATTCTGCGTCGATGCTGCGAAGCGTCCATACAGCTGTTGTGCGCGCAGGAAAATGACTCACCCGCGAATCCCGCGAACCTGCCACCATTTAGTACCACCGACAATCCGCTTCGTAACCTCCTCCCCACCCAGAGCTTGTATGAGATACGTGGCCGCGTCATCGCAACAGGTCATAGGGACGGTCAATCGTACAATGTGCGTCCATGGTGGCGTTGGAGTGCGAGTATTTGAAAATTCTTGCAGCTCTTCTACAGTGTGTCTGGAATGGATTATTGGATCGAAGTCAGTCTCGTCGATCTTTTGATATCCCAAAAACCCACTTGACTGCCGCTTCCATAAATGTCTGCAAGCAGTGTCGTTAGGATGATATATCAATATTTAGAATGGACAAACCAACCTTGACAATATGGAAGGCCTCATCGTACAGTAACTCATCCTGGCTCAACTTGGTCACCCCATCCCCGCGCTCTTTCAGTACGCGTTCGAGGTAATGTTTAACGAGTGTTTCAAGAACCAGGGGCCCGAGCTTCAGCCCGGCTTGGCCGAGGAGGGAATTGAGAGGCATAGTTGCCTCTGGTAAGGACAGAAAACGCGTTCATGGATACCTGCCGCCGGGAGAAAGTGGCGGTAGACTAAGCTGCGGCTTGGCTCCGACATGGCTTGGAACATGAACCGACGATTCGGTTCGGCAGATGCAAGTCGAACCGAACCGCCGAATGGTTCCAGGGCCGGATCTTGGTAGGCTCTGTGCCAGTGCGCCCACTACACCACCAGCTTCAAGGTTTTCAACTACTACTACGAAGTCCAATCGCAATGTTGGCCCGAAGAGTAAGAATTTGGATTGAATACAAACTACTGAGATCAGTCTGAAGGGCTCTCCCGGCTCCGAGTCGAGTTTGATGATGTACATCAGCCGAATATGCGTGGGCTGAACCTGACTCTCAAACTCCGACTTATGCTTATGTTGACAGGACTACGACTTTCTTCAGTGCTAGATAAAATGGCGTTCACCAGAGGATTCCAGGATGGGCTTGCGAAGGCAAGTATGACCGTGAGTATTTCCCCCCCACGTTCCTGAATGACTGACCACCAGAATGGATCCTGAAGACTTCTATCGCAGAAACGTTCGTCCTACAGCTTACGGTAATATCACTGGCTATCTCATACATCTCACTCGTGCCATATGCTAAATCAAGTAATCTCTTGCCGTGCTGCACAGGCTGTCAGCAGAATGCTGTTGCCAGTGGCATGCTTCCCCTTCTCCGTGGGTACCACACGCTACTGAGGCTCAGAAGGCCCTCGTCGCTCCCAGGAGGATTGCGACAGCCCCTCCCCTCTCGATACCCCTACGTTGAACGTACACCACAATGGCCCTGAAGCTGAACTACCAGCGACCTCGCCCGCTCGCTCGTCACCTGGGCATCTCCATCACGACCTGCGTGCTGTTGTTCATCTCATTCCTTCTATACCTGCTCGTCGCCCTCTCTACCCCCATTATCAAGTCTATCTTTCTCTTCGAAATCAAGTTCAACGAGGAAGATGGTGACGTTGCATCTGGCGTCGCGACCAACCTACAATTTGGCGTCTGGGGTCTGTGTGCATACAGTGTACTCCCCGGCTTCGAATATTGCTACGGGCCAAGGCTGGGATACACCATTCCGGAGAGCATATTGTCCCTGACAGGATATCCAGACCTTGTGGACGACGTGGTGGAAGTATTGACGATTCTCTTGGTGCTTCACCCAGTTTGCGCCGGCCTCTCCTTCGTTGGGATGTTCACATCCCTCTTCCTCGAGTCGCACGCAATGTGCATCATATCCCTCATCATAACTATACTCACCATCATCCTCGGCTGCCTTGTGTTTGCCGCCGATCTCGCATTGGTTATCATCGGTAGAATCAAGATATCCGCGCTCTCGGACTTCTCGTACTATGTCAACTGGGGTCCAGCTGTGTGGATGATACTCGCGGCGGTCGTCTGCTTATGGGTCGGGATGATCCTGCTTAGCGTTGTGGTGTGCCAATGTTGCGGGGTTGGAGTGGAATATAACGAGGACGAGAAAGATGTTGAGAGCGATGCTTGAGGGTTGGGGGTTGAGTGACTTGTGAGTAGATGATCTCGATTTGAAGGTTTCTTATCTAAATTCGTTGATTTCAGTGTGGTCTTCACTAGACTCTTTCTCGACAGTAAGACCCTTTTATGACTTCTTACGACTTTTACGACCAAGATGACATGGTTCCATACAACTTTCCCTTCGATATATTTAGCTTATCTCTTGTCATTGGCATCGTATCTCGCCTTGTTATGTGCGTATCTGTGGCGATTTTGGCTTTGTCGACTCTCAGGTAGACTATTCCGGTATGGGGTTTTAAGCAGAGCGCACAAGCAGCGCCAGTGCGCCATTGGAGATGGCGCTGTCGATCTTAAATTGGGCATAAACTTGACGTGATCCGCGCTGATCTGCAGCATTTGATTCGACCTATAGACGGAAAGGTGGGCGGCATCTGCATTTTATCATATGCGAATTAATACTGACGCCAGGATCTAGGCTCTCAGCGACGCCGTCGACTCTGGGTGTGGTGGGACTCTCTTAATCACAATGTTGGAGAGTAATCTAGGCACTTTAGCATGCACTTCAAGTTGAACATGCAATGTGCGAGAGCGCCAATTCTTGTAAGTCTGAGCAGATAATCTAGCATCTATGATATGTATGTGGTCGGAGGCACTTCAAAAACTCTCGATCCCGTCACAACGGGTTTAATGACATCCGCATCCTGCAAGGCAGCAAAGAGGTTGAAAAGCATCAAGTCCTGCAACATAAAATTCTTCAGCAATGGCTTGCAGAATACTGTACCATACCAAAGACTCACGCAGTTCTTTGCCGTGATGAAACTCAAGGTGACGGGCAGGTATTCTATCTGTCCCGTAATAGTGGAATTGTACGCCGCCTCGCCGACTGTCGTGAAGGAGGGTTAGCAAGTATACGCAGAGCGGATTACAGGCTCCACACCAGGCACCACCATATCGGGGGTCTCAGCGAATACAGCAATACGGCCTGAAGAGAATCCGAATGGTGTAGTAGGAGGTCTAAACCGGTTGTACGTGAGCATGAGCGAATGCAGGACACCGGTTCACACTCACCCTGGGTATGCGTTGCGATAGGTTGTGCCACCAGAGCTCTGGGGGTAGAGGAAGATAGCATCTGAGCATGTATCTGGTACGCCTCCGGGCACGATTTCTTTCTGGAACCAGTCCATGAATGTTGTTTTCTCCACTATAGCTTCATTATGAGCGCTAGCAGGGAGTGACCAGCCATAATCCCACCGTGTAAGGGGGGCAGGGTCGATGAATGGCTTACGACCACCGGTAGCCGCGGCGTAGTCCCTGAAGAAAGGCTCTGCGAGGAGGGCGATTTGGTCTGTAGTAATGAGCGTCGGATAGGTAGTGTTCAGGAACTCCCGGAGGGTAGAAGATACGTTGGACGGTTTTGTACTGTCCCACATGGTGGTCAAGTTGATCTCGGTGCGCGTCGTCCCCAAGAACCCTTCGAGCTGGGTGATGAACGCGTTGAATGTCGCGCCGACTGTTCCAGGCGCAGGAGGTTCGGCCAGATAGCTACTTCCGAACGAATCAACAGGGAAAAGAATCTTTTTCGGGTATTGGGAGTACTACGCATCAGTTACGACTTGATCAGTACAAAATCGATGCGGACGAGTTCAACCGACGACTGACCGAGGTGAAGTTCTGGTACCACCAGTGGCCTGCCTGTGTCCATAGCTTGGCGTCCCGAGAGAAGATACCAAGTGTGTCAAGCTCAGGGGAGAGAGGCATAACATCATCCGTAGAGATTGCACCATGGGACGGCCTGTTGCCGAAGACGCCATTCGCACCGGAAGGACCGCGCATCGACCCTCCAGTATCACTCCCGATAGCGAAATCCAACCATGAGTACGCCGCCATCGCAGTACCCGAGCCTGTCGAGGAACTGCTGCCATCTTGGTATCCATCGCCACGCGGGTTGTACGGCGCGTGCAAGTCGACCCAATCGTCCGTGGCAACTTCCCCATTCGCGAACTGTGAGCTCTTCGTCTTGCCTACGAGGACCATCCCACCGTCGAGAAGACGTTGCACGGCAGGCGCAGTCTGAGTCTTTGGCGGGTAGAGCGCCCAGTATGCACGATTGCCACAGCCAGTATGCAAGCCTTGTACATCGTAAATGTCTTTCACACCGAGGCGGTAGCCAGCGAATGGTTTCTCGGCCGTGGGTGTGAAATAGAGGCGGGAAGGTACTGGTATACTCTCGGTCGCAGCGCCAGAAGTTTTGGCAGATGCCACTTGGAATCCACCGTTCCCGTTGGGAACAGTACCATACACGAAGGACTGCTGTTCGTCGTTGTATAGACGATAAACTAGATGCTGCACTTCTCAGACGCAGTTCATGTATTGCTTAGGAGGAACAAACCTTCAAATATGTTGCCTGTTGCTGGTTCTAATAGATATGGACCAGAGGGCAGACTGTTTGTGAGAGCGATGCCGCCGGAGTAGCTCGAAGAAGATGTAAGGAACTTGACGGCATACTTTGACTTGGCTGAAGATGACAGCGAAACCGAGGGTTTATGACCAGTACCATTGTACTTAATATAGAGTCCTGACACATGTACGTTAGATGGGCACATCCGTGACAATGCAACGCATACCGGTCATGAATGATGTGGACCAGACATCGTCGCTTGCAGACCAGGCTTTTGCCACTACGTCAAGTGCGCTGTCATCAAAGTCTGATTCGGATGTTGGGATCACGGAGAAAGGGACGAGCGAGCCGGTGGAGCTGCCAACCAGACTCAGGAGCTCTGGTAGTCCAAAAAACCCAATCCGAGATACTGGAGATGGGGGCGCGAAATATGACACGTTGCCGAGAACGAAGGTTGTACCCGTCGAATGAAGAGTGACTTGCGTAGCAGCCGCGAAGCTGAGAATGGCTAGTGCACTCACAATAACAGCTGCAATGAGACCCATGACAGAGGATTAGAAGTAATACCACTGTTGGGTTGCATAATCTGCATGGCACTCGCGTTTTTATACTCATGGCCAAGTATGCGATGCGATTCGTGCGCGATAACGAAATGTTCCGTACCGTACTATGGGCTTGCCAATTGATGCCGAGACTTCTCGATAGTGAAAGCATGAGCGACAACTCACAGAAAGCAGAGCTCGAAGTGACCCTGGCCTCTCCGCATATCCAATAACTGGAGTAGATAGAAGAGCATTGTCAAAATATGCCAGGCCCCTCTGCTATCACGACGTAAGCTCTGAAGACATCGGTGCGGTGCATATACGAATGTATTCACTTACCACAAAACCATGAACGCCACCGCAAGTTACCCTCGCTTCCACATCCTTATCTTACAGCTGGCTTCTTGTCCTATCATATGACTTGGACTTGGCAGAGCGGGGGCGAAGCCGAACAGTGTTGAGGGCTTCTGTTCGTTAACTAGAGAGAAAATTCGGTCGGCATACAAGCAGTCTACACGGCATTGTGCGACGATAGCTAGCGTTATCTACCCTCAGCGGTCTGTCGATGCAGCTTGGCATGAACTGGATAACTGACGGGCATTTAATCTAGTGCCTGCATGTCCAAATGTTTTGGCGAGAATGACCCGTTTGTCGATACTTACTTCTTCTGACCAGTGTCCAGATATTGCAATCTACCTGCAGACTAAGATGACCCCGCAAACACTCACCGAGCTACTTTGCTTTGTGTACAATAACTTGGCAGTGGAGCGTGAGCCGCGAGCTGAAACGTCATAGACAAGACCCAAATTTCTTTGTGTTACTCGTCAAAAGCTACAATGAACTCACATCGTGGCTTCAACGTGCTTCTCGCTATAAATTGAAGTTGTCCGGAGCCCTCAGGGAAGCTCGCATTGAGTAAAAATACTCACACCTGGGACGACATTACCTCCTCTCAACACTTGGTATGGCTGTCATCACCATCCTGCTTTCAAGTATCGCCCTTATCTCAGTAGTGAAGTCTGTGTTTCGTAAGTGCACATGCTAGTGGACTAAGAATGATATTGATGGTTGCTTACGGCTGGCTTGCGGACTCCGCATTGTCGCTACTATAGCCCCACTCTCTGGATTCGAGACCGAAGCCGACATCAAGTCCGCATCCACCGCTTTCTCGATCGACTGGAGCGTAGATCCTGTGATGGCGCCCCTGCCCAGATATGGGCGAACAGCGTCCATACCTGCCATCGCGCTCAAATGATACGGCCAAGGGCACACTGATAATGTGTTCGGGTACCTTGATGAAATTACTAGGTGCAATAGGAGTTACAGAAATCCTGAATTGTCTTATGATGCCGCGAAATTCATTGCCCAACATCCTGGTTTCGCCGCTGTCTTGATAACCTGAGTCATCGACTGGTGTCTGTATGAGTCAGAATGATCCCTCAAAGCAATAGGGGCCTGTTCTTGGCTTGTTATGTAATTAAGGTAACAATGTCACTGGCCGAAGCGAGTTAAAGAGCAACACAACAAGAACACGCTACGACGGGATTGAAGGCGGACACATGTTGTTTTGGTTATGTTGACGCACGCAATACTGCTTCCATACGGCACCCCCAAATGGCAGCGGTACACACACCAACATTTTACAGCTCACGATTGAAAAGGAACTATGTTGACGAAAAACGTACTGAAAATCCACGATAAGTGTCCACCGTGACGAACGGCAGGGGTATCTGGGCATGTACCGGTCTACAGGCATGCCGCAAATGCAGTAGACCATAATGCTTCAGAAGCAGCGATCACGAATGAAGCCTGGAGATTGTTTGACTACCAAGAAAGTTGGCGGCAGTCGTCAAAGCGCGACGGCGAGCGAGCGCTGTTAGAAATCTTAAATAACATATTGTGGCCTAATTCAACTTACAAGTGTAGTAGCAAATTGCTCGGAAATTGAAGTCAAGCATAAAGCTATCCGTCAAGCTTTTAATATTACGTAGATTAAATAAGCCCAAGCTTATATATAGTATACTGTTCAAACGTTTATCCTCGGCTGTCGTCGAAAGGCTTCCTCTGGTGTCTGACTGTGATCCCGACAGGATTGCGGTATACCGAGCCTGAGCTGTACCTATATTTTTCATCGTCACTCAGTACACGATCCTGTGCGAAATCATACTCCTCCAGGATCGCCTTCGTCATAACCTGGATGCTTTGCAGCGCAAACCATCGTCCCGGACAGAGATGAGGCGTGTTGGGTCCAAAGCTTACAAACCTATCGCTACCAATTGGAGGATCCTGTTCGATGAACCGATCAGCTTTGTAAAAAGGTGCATCTTCGCCCCAAGCACTTGTCTCCCTGTGGCGATAATAAGCCGACAACGACCCAGCCTGTCCCCTCGGAATGTAGCGACCGGGCTCGGATGGAAGCTGGAACGGCTGTAAAGCTGTGCGTGCTGGTCCTGTTGCTGGTCCTGAGAGTCGGATTGATTCAAAGACGGCACCACGCAGGACTTTCCATGGTTCAGTCCGGTCCATGGATAGATTTCGTAGCGTTGCGTCGGAGAGGGACCTGACAACGTGCCCTTGCAATCCGGATTGATTCACGATATCAAAGAATGTACTCGTCAAGGACGCTTGCAAGTTCGTGAGCCCAATCCAAACGAGGAGGCCAAGCATGTCCGAAGCTTGCTCATCATCCTGTACTTCAGGAATTACGAAGTTCAGCAGGTTATAGTCTTTACCCCCGCCAACTTGACGCCGTTTCGCGATCAACGGCACCAAAATTGGGCGCATCTTCTTCCAATCGGTCGTGATAGGTCGACGAGCAATGAAGCGCAAGAACGAGGGCAGCAGGGTAGCCAAACCCATGGCATTGACAGAATCGTCATTAAATTGTAGGAATATCTTCAGTAGCTCGGGATTGTCGAAGCCTTCGGGACCCACTACGCAGCGAGACACCACGTACGCGATGTACAGGTAGAGATAGTCATTCAGATCTGTGTAGTGCTCTGACATCCGGTCTCGTGCCACGAGTGGATGTGCCGCGAAGAAGGAATGAGCCGCGTCCTCGACTGTCTTGGCAAACCCAGCAAGCGTCGCTTCGTCGTGAAGATGAGCTCGAATAATCTTCGTATGGAGGTCGGTCGCGAAATTTGCGTCTCCCGTGATGAGAGCAGTATTGACACTAGCAAGGAAGTCATGTAACGAAAACTTGATCTCATATGGTCCGTCGTCAATGATAGCCTGCACGTCTTCAGGCTTAGTGATGACAAACTGTCGGGTGTTGGCCAACTCCAGCCCGAAAACTGCACCACTCCATTTCTTCATACCTTGCTTTACCAGTCCTGTGGGATCCGACTTGAACTGCAGTGCAACACCAAATAGCGGCCATTTCCACATCAAAGGCGGCTGCCCAGGACGAATTTCACGACGCAGTGCCCAAATGAGGAAAAAAATAGGAATGGCAGACAATGCTGTCAACAACTCCTTCCTATGCTCCTTGACGAGCACGATGACTACCTCGAGGCCCGTCAGTGCTGTCTCGATCCAATTCGTCTTCGGTGTCAGCGAGCACAGAACAGGATTTGTCTCTGGATTATATGGGAAGAGCGGATTCTTCTGTAGACAGTCGATCTCGCTGTTCTCCGCGATAAGCCTCCACAGGAGGTTTGTCCCATGTGCCTGTAAGTCGAGCTCTGACAGCCAGAACATGTTTAACCATCGTGCTCTAGGAAATCCCTCTATCGGGCGAGGCTTCCAGATCAACTCCTCGAGCGCGTTAGTCGGTGTACAATCCCATGGCGCATCCACAATCATGCATCGCATCATGGCGTAGCCCACAGAGAATCGGTCGGAGTTTCCGAGGCCAAAGAGACTGAAAAGACTAATGATGAGGGCTGAGCTAGGCACGGTGGTACCCGGAAACATGGTCTCTTCTAACTGGCATCCAACGACAAGATCGACGTCATCCGGATGCTTGTACAGCCGCTTGAGATTTGCGACGGCCTCTGGGTCCGAGGAAAAGTCCTCGAATCGTTTTCGGATGGGGATCACCACAGCGGGGTCGTGACTGTTATATGCGCGGAAATATTGATTGAAAGTCGGTAGTCTAGAAAAATGGGCCTCAGAGGAACATATGGGCGAATATAGTCCTGACTAACTTACCCCTGCTCTCGCTCGTGAACGATGCTCCACGTTGCAATGTCGAATGGACTACCACGATACCTTCCCGCGGACCTAAATGCTTCATCGATACCCGACTTGAAATTTGGAATATCGGTGGCCACAATCCCGCGGAGTATGTTCTCCAGGCCTGCCTCCACGAACCCCTTCGCATCAAATGCACTCTCGAACAGATCCTTCTCGTATATCGTCTTGTTATCCGTATCCTTGAGTGGAAATGATGGAATGATAAACTCGTGGAAGCGATATACGATCGCCATCTCCGCAGACGCAGCCATCGGTTTTCCGTCCTTGGTCACCAGCGGCCACGGATAGCTATGTATGGGGTTGAGCTCCAAAACATCCTTGCCATACATCTGGCGATAGAGAGGAAAACCTGAGTCCTGTCCGTCAGCGAGAAATATAGTTTGATCGTTGGGGGACACTCACCATCGTCTCGCGGCCACGGCATAGAATCGTTCCCGCTCGTCTGCCAGTAGGCCATCTGATATGAATTGGCAATCAGCTGGAACTTCGCCGCCATCGCCAGTCGCACTGTCTGGTAGATCCTTTCGTCGTTGTATTCGGGATGCTGTGTTGCAAGCAAATCGCACATGCGGTTGTGATCACGCAGCAGCAGCGTGTGGACAGACAACATAATCCAGTCCTCGTTCGTCCGTGGGTCTCCTCCCGCGAATAGACTCTTCACGTCTACACCTGGGCGAGTTCGCATAGGAAGGCCCATGGAATTGAACGGGAGATAGTTCCCTGGCGAGGTACGCAGCTTGCCCTTGTCGAAGGATCGTAACGCGCGCGACACCTCCGTTGTGCTTCCATATAGGGAGCTCACATCGATCCAATTCGTTGCCTGGTTCAAAGTCTGGCGAGGGTTGCTGAGCGATGTTCCCGTGCCAGCGACAGCCTCCGTACGCCACACACGAAAGGTGGTATTGAGTGGGAAGGTTTCTTCATCATCAGGCATTGGAACGTCGACGAACTCGGTGAGGGAATCCTCGCTATACGTTACATCATGCATGATAAACTGGTTTAAAAAAATGAGTGATATTCAATACGCAGGCATGAAACGGACCTCGATCAGTCCCAGGAGAACGGGAGTATGGTCATAATAAAGCCTCTGCTTCCGCTTAAAAAACGCATTGCTGACAGCACGCGCATTCGGGCCATCCCTTGGCTCGCTAATCCCGTCTTTGTAAAAGTATTGGTTGTAGTCTCGAGAATGAGGTTGACCGAGCTGGCCGTAATACGCGTGATCTGTCTGCAGCCAATTGCAAGACCCATCGGTTGTGCGGTAGAACCACTTCGCTTTGTCAGCGGAACAGGTTGGGTCGATTGGATATCCGAGATTGGAGAAAAGTGATGTCGCCTCACGGTGTGGTGGGACAGTTGGTAGATGAGGTGTGCGAAGTTTCGCAAGACGATCATCGGTGGGGGATTTCGGAAAATCAACATGATTCCAGAGGTCCTCCAGCGACTTGACGTCGTCAGGGATGGTGTTGTTCACAAATGGAGTCTGAAGTTCGCTGTGAGAAGCAATCGTTGAGCGTAGCCAGTGAAGGTAAAGGTCATCCGGCATAGCGTCGAACTCCGGCTTGCCGTCCGTGGCTGCGCCTTGTGAGAAGTGAGCAGTACGCGTGCGCCCGTAGGGCCAGTGAGAGGCTGAAGCGACATGGATGGACGCAAACACGAAACAAACCAGACTGCGCATCTTGCGAGATGAAGGGATGCGACATACTGGAGTTGGAAATGGTCATTTTTATACAAACACCAATGCCAAGCTCCGAGCAAGATATGGGGCGCCGGGTATTGGACACTTGATGACAAGCTTGTTGGTACACTGAATTGGCACAGCGTAGTGCAACAAAAACATCTCGGGACTAGTACTAGTAGATTCCGGGATGCTCGGACAATGAGCGCGCACTTCAATTACAGACGCCCTCCGATATGCAGCCCGGACAAGGATCGCACTGGTCTCGTGCCCGGACGTGTCGAAGACACGCCTGGGTACGAGACCAGGATCGCACCAGCTCTAATTCCGAGATGTGAGAACGACCAAGGAGTGTGAGCAGGCTTCCTAAGTCTTCTAGCTATAGATGGGAAGAAGGGGAAGAAGCTATATGTCCGGTACATTACCGGAATGGATTTTCACCGGCTGTGGCTTAAGCGCTGAATGTGACTGAGTGGATCGTGGAGCAAAATTGAGGGGCCCGGATGCGAGTAAGTGGTGATCCGACTCCAGGCTGCTAGACCGATAAGTCAATATCGGAGTAAAGCCGACTGATCCATGTACGCTATGGCCACATATTGCCAAATCCCTGCGCCCTGGAGAATGGAGAATGAAGATCGTATCAACTGAGCGAAATCGGCTTCATGAAGTATGTTGACAGACAGTCCTGAAAACACTGAACATAGGATGGAGAATAATATATTATTCTAAAACGCACCTCACAGATAATAGCACTAATCATAACGTCCATACGCATCTGTTTTGGCCAGCAAAGTGAAACTTCAATGGAGGTTGCAACTGAGCGATCCAGTCGTACTGCCCGTCGTAGGCAATTATTGGTCACAATCCGGGTAGCAATGTAAACCTGTTTTATTATTATATTCTGAGTGAAATTTACGACTCAAATCCGGATCAGAGTCAAGCGAAACATCATGAAAACTACTCCAGAGTCAAAGTCTCAATTCCATAAGATGTGAAAACTTGAGAGCAAAGATTATGGTAAGGCTAGTAGACGGGTTTAATATATAAGCCACTCACTCATCATCCACATTCTGATTCCTTGCCCTTCGTTATAATGCAAACTGACGCAACCCATCATATTAGTATGTCCACATATCCTGCTGGGGGCCAACTTGAGGCAGCAGCTGGCCAATTCAAGTTGCGCGAGCATAAACTCAGAGTTACTAAGCGTCTTTGAAAACTCGCCAAAAACCTTAAGCTCTCAAGAATCTCACGGTAGTCGTTCGGTGCAGCCGTGAAAACGGAAGAGGACAGAGCAGAGGCGAGAAAGAGAGAGAGGAAAGAGAGCAAGAAGGGTGGAGCAGAGAAGGAGGGGACGGGGGAAGAAGAGGGAGAAGCGCGCAATCTAGAAACCAAACAAACCTGTCGATCGTCACAGTAATCAAGATGTAAGTGAAGGCATTCGGCAGCATGATTTTCTGTACAGGCTGCACGGGTGTCGGATCCTCCAATATCCATCTAGCCTATCCGACAAAACTTCATCTTAAATTTATAAACCCTGCAATACCCCAGCCTCTCCCTCTATGCCACTCACACGCTGACCAGCCTCCATCTCTATGCATCCAATATCGTCGCGTCCCACTTCCTTCAAGAATCCATCCACCTCGCAAAGCGGCTTCTCAGACCGCCCGCATATAACCAAGTCTTCCCCGACGGCTCGTAACCACTCTGTGACTGGCTTGCTAAACCATCTCGTTATAGGGCCCATGGCGAGTGCGCCTTCGGCCTGAAACCAGCCTAAATGCCCGCCCATCTTCGTGACCGCAAGTACAACATATCCATTCCCGCCAGCATCAGTCGGGAACACTTGCACGATTGGATCGTCCTGCGCATTAATCGCGAGGAACGGCACCCGAATCTGTGGGAGCATCTGGTGGCTCGACCCCCATGTATAGTACGCTCGTGCGTCCGGAAATGGGAATGGCGGCGATGACCCGCCAGCGATGCAGTTAAATGTGTTATCGAACATTTCCATCGTAGGAGACGACAGCGCGAGACAGGGCTCGAGCGCTTGTTCTACGGGATGTCCGGGGAACTGGCGCAGAGATGCGGCATGCCCCTTGATGACGCTTTGCAGGTTCGTTCCTAGTGCTTTGGAGTAGATGATGCGATGGAGCCACCTGCGTTCGAGTCTGTAAATGGTGAATCTCAGTACTAGTCTTCGTCGCATGGCACTCAGACGTACGCATCACTGTTCTTCAGCAAGTCCCAAGGCTGGATCACATTCTGTATTTAATGACTTGAACATCTGCAACAGACTCGACTCACACAAGCTAGAACGCAGGCAGCAGCCAGACGGCAGCTCTCGCCCTCCTCTGCCACATATCGCGTTAAGATATTTCCACCCACAGAAAAGGCCAAGCCCAGTAGGATAGCGCGAGGATATCGCCTTCGGATATAGTATATTGCGACTCGAACATCATCTGTAGCTCCAGCAGAGTAGAATTGAGGACTAGTGATTGGAACCCCTGCACCTACAAAACATGATCGCTCAGCGTGTCCGCACGGAGGACATGAACATGAATGGACATACATCCGCGGGAATTGACCACTACAGCCCGGTAGCCAAGTCCGCCGCTTTCTGATGGTGCACATACGACAGAGAGAACGGCACGCACGTAAGCCTCGTGCGACCCTGTAACGAAGATATATTCGAAACTATCCGGTATGAGAACGATGAGACACGTACCACCCGTCAATCCATGGAGTACAACGATAATGGGCCTGTCGTCTTGCGCACTATCAGGTGGTGTAAAGTCCAAACCACTGGACAATGCTATTCAGCTACGGCAGCTGTTCTGAAGGAAATAACACACAGGGTGCCCCCATCCGCCGTTCGTAAAAGAGTCCTGGGTGTATGTCAGTACTCGGACAATTCCTCCAGAGCATAGAGACGCCACCTCTGATATTCGATCTTGTCCACTGTTGAGAAGTCGCCCACGACGGAGTAGCAAGTTTGTAAGTGACCGCTAGAGCGTAAGAAATTCGAGCTCATGTGAGTACGCGCGCGTAAATGACACATCAGATACACTCACTTGAAAAGCCACCACGCTGGCATAAATGGAGAGCTGCTCAACGAAGGACACCTGTTCTCCACAAATGTCTTCAGAGACTCATTCTGATACTTGGATGCGCCGTCTGTGATGATTGAATTCTGGCACAGGGAGCATTTCACAAGCAAAGATACAGGAGAGCAAGAGTAATGCAGTTTCGTGCGAAAGTATGCCCTGTATGCGTGCGACCAAGAAGACAAGAGCCTCTGCAAGACGAGTACAATCGAGAATGCGCTGAATACCGCGCACAGAGTCAAAGCAGACATCTAGAGCTGGTTGAGGGAGAAAATAATTGACGCGCCTGTTCTCCCAACAACATCAGGCTGTGTAGGGCGCATATCAGACGCTAAGTTTGCGAGAGACGGCATCAGGAACTACAGAATCACTGCCAGGACTCGCTTGGGATTAACTGAGCAGATAAACGCGCTTGCATCACGTGTGAGCTGTTTCCTCAACGTTTCAACTGGTGCCAGGTATCTCCTCGAATTAATAGTACTGAGGACTACTGCAAGCACTCGCTGAATTGAACCTCCAATACGATGAACAATCCTGCTCATGTACCCCTTAGGCTACGTCCCACTATCTGGACATGACTAAACCTTCAAGTTGATCAGGTTCGACCCATTGTCAATCTGTCAATTTAAATGGGGAATCTTGATCCTCTGATCTGTGCCTCTGGCCCTCTCCTACTGCACCCGCACGGCATCCGAAATTGGAGGACAATCATATACAAGGACTTTATGTATTTATCGTTGTCCGAGATACCTTCAGCTTCGAGGCCAGGCGCTTATACCGATTCCATACCTTCCCATATTGGAAGTCGCTTGTTCCATATTAGGTTCTCCCCTTTATACCCTACCGGAAGGCGTTCCCCTTGTAATGAGCGGCGTGCTCGCATCCTCTAGCTTTTGAGCGTATAAGAAGGGGGGGAAGGTTATGATGTCGGTACGCCTGCTCGTTGACCGACGCCGCCCCATTCGACCACCCTCTCCTCTTCGCCTCATCCACTGCATCAATAGCCCACGTTTGTTCTTGTCAAGCATAAGGCTCTGAAGACCAGCATACCGCTCAAAAATCCTGTATCATCCAATCTATACCTGCCAGGACGATGTTCTCTCGTGTCTCACAAACACTCACATTCCTTTTGATCTCCGCGTCTCTTGGTATGGTTCTACCATTCATGCCTTCGAGCTCGCAAGTTAACTTCAGCACCATTTCAGCTTCCTCATCGCCCGCACCAGCACCTCAACCAATCGACTCCAATATTGCACATGTCATTGCGATGAATAACAACATCGGATGCTCGGGACCGCAAGGATGCTTGGCTGTGAGTCTTACTGACTGGCGATCCTTGGTGGCTTATTTCACCATCTCTCCGTATACAGGCACAAGAAACGAATGGCACCTCAAACGCAGCGGCGATTCTTGCTGCCTCCGGAGCCTTTTCAACAGCAGTTCCGGGCAGGACAAATGCGCTGGTTGCTGCAATCACAGTGGCTGGTAGTCTGTCCGTTGCTGTGCTGCTATGATTGCGGCTACGCCCTACGTGCGGCGCGATAATCGCGGTCGACGTTGGGCACCTAGCGACGATGTATCTTATATTATGTATATGTTTAGGACCATGCATTCCGACTCATTGTAGCGATTAGATTTTCTTAATGCACACTTCAAATCGCAATATGTTGCAAATACATTGTTCATCGAAGTTGCTCTGCTGTGTGGGCTCGAATCGCTTCATCATATTCGACGTTTAATTCATTGAGTTGAACTTACAGTCAAGCAGCTACAGTACATAGTTACTCGGCTCCACAACGTTAGCCGCGGCACAGCAGTGTCCGAAAACGTTGGTTTACATCCGGTCTTCAACTGCGACCTTCATGCATCCGTGTACCATATTCATTCCGACCCCATACTCACACTCGCAAGAGTGACTGACAATGTGGCTTGTATTACGGTAATGGACCTTGCAACGCACACTTCATTTTCATCGTGGTCTCAATGCGTTAGAAGATAAGCAACATACAATTATATATATATCATGATGTTTGCGGTTTCAAGTCCGCTGATATTCTGACTACATAGTCGCTCACCGTAGGACCTAGGTTCGTAAGGCCCACGGCATCGGTCTTATACAGCTCTACAAAGGCTCATATTGGTCTGTCTCAAGCTGAGGTTTCTCGACGACGGCGGACACAGCCAGCTATCCCGGTCCCTTCCTCTGCTCCCCCCGCGATCGTCCATCGTGAAATATGTCTGCATACGGTGTCATCGCCGCGACCAATCGCTCTGGCCCCCTTGCCTCCACGCAATGGGGTCTCGCATCCAAGCCAGAGTCAACCTATTCTGCGAGTACCCTGACGATCCACCACACTACCCTGGCTTCTGCACAGGCCGTGCCGGGACTGGTTTCTTATCTGCGCAAGGTGTTCGCCGACGAACTCGAGCGCGGTATGACATACCCGCAGGAGATCCTGTCTGGCCAGGACTATTCCCAGGACATGTTCGAGGCGTACTACTTTGCTGCAGACGTGTTGATTGCAGTGCTGGATAACGAAGACCCTTCCAGATCTCAGGACGAGTTCACCCAAACAAGTGATGGAAGTGCTATAGAAGGTGGGATCGAGCAGGCGATCAAGGGCCGGGGCTTGGAAGAGTGCATCGCAGGTTGCTACTATGTGAGTGTACTTTGACAACATCGCGGCTGCGGCAAGACTTCGCTCCCGAGCTGTGTCCGCGCACTGCAAGTTGTATGTATCTGATGCCGTCCTATGTGCGCGCCCTCGCTTCTAGGTGAAACCCAACTATCCAGGTCGATCATCTCATGTGAGTATCTGCGCAGTGTTATATCTGCTCGGTCTACATCAGATGCTTGGTCGTCATCCGACTGTGTATATATCAGGGATGGATGTAGCAGCAATGACACATGCTATTTGAGATGACTAGTCATGTCATCAGCCCACAATCCACTGCCCACCACTCACATCTTCCATTGTAGATTTGCAATGCCGGTTTCCTTGTGCCGCCTTCACAGCGGGGGAAAGGCATCGGTGCGGCGCTCGCCCGATCCTTCCTGTACTACGCGCCACGGCTGGGGTACGAAGCGAGCGTGTTCAATCTCGTCTACGTCAACAACGTCGCCAGCGTTCGGTAAGTCCCACTTCGGTTTTTGCATCGACAGTTCGTCGTGATTGTTATTGCATATGATTCCCGGAATCATGCCCTGGAGTGGTCTCCATCGTTTGGCGATCAACACCGTTCGTTCCCCATACTGATAGCATGTAACTCTGATACAACAGGCTCTGGGAGGCTCTCAACTTCACGAAGGCAGGGCGTATACCGCGCGCTGGGCGACTGAAAAAGGCTGATGGCTCTGGAGAAGAGTTTGTGGACGCATGGGTATTCTATCGCCGGTTCGATCCAGTTCAATAGCGGTGCCAGATATTTGGTAGAGCGCAGGAGTGCTGACAGACTGCGAAATAAAAGAAACTGTTATATTCAACGCCGAGTGATGACTTTCAAAATTTGAAGTATCCCGAACGACCGTGCGCCGATATCATGCGCTCAAGGACAAAAACTTCGGAGATCAGGGAGGCTGGTCGGGCAGTCACGCAGTTTCAAGCGACAATAATAATAATGGTGCCATGGAGATCTACGGAGTTCACCAAAATTCTATGCCCTATCTGCATCATTTCCTGCACCCTACAGGGTAGCGTAGAACCCGCCGCCAAGCACTAACAGTCGAGTTAGCGGGAGGCATATATTCAACAACCGAGACAATGTCGTGGATAAGTTTCTGAATGGGTCATCATTGCTATTAAAGACTTTTTGACAGTTCGCAAGGAATGCCCACAGACCAAATATACGTTCAGTCGGATAGCTATGAGGTGTGTCACATTGCTGCTGCGCAATGTACACGAATGGGCCATCTGATTCCTGACACCCGTGTCTAACAGCACGCGCACGAGGCCTGAAACATTGTCTGAATCATCGCTCAACGGTCATCATGACAAGTCGGAAGGAATGACAGCTCATGCGCTCACGCTCGGCCTGTGCACATTTGACATCCGAGCATTGCCCAGTACACTGACCATGTCACGAATACCGCAAGTCAGATTTACTTCGTATTTACATCAGTCCTCAACGCACGTAGACAGAGTTGTACCAGCAGTGAAGAGACTCGCAGCAAATCTACATATTCCCACTGCGGCTCCTCGCACAGCAAAGCAATAACGCTGGTCGGTTGGATCAAATGGCAGTGAATCTCCGTATCGCAGCAAGGGATCTTCAAGCCTGCATGGGAGAAGCGTGCACCGAGCTAGCCATGCGGGCTGTCGCGCAGCCGTTTACAAAAGCTAAAATGCCCACGCGAGCTTGAGAACTGTACAAACACGCCTGTACCCTCTTCTCCGGAGGACCCCAAACAAATACCGCCTCTCCACAAGGCCGCCTTCTTCCTTCCCATGCCCTTTGGACCGTGCGAAGTCGAGCGAAACCACGACCGCTCCGTACTGCGCAGACTGCGGTGCTTCTCCACGTCGAAATATACTTGCTGATTGACTCGGCCCGACGCGTGGTGGAGCCTTGCTTACTGTAGGCAGCGACCTACAGCTCCATTTCGGACCACGGCAGAACCTGCAATCACAGGAAAAGGCTGGATGGAGTCCCTGTATGTTCCGAGGAGACGAGGTGGATCAGATTGACTGAACACTGTCGGAGCATGAGCTGTTTCAAAACGATAGTCGGAAATTCCCGGCTCAACAAGGCAAGACTAGGTGAGAGTGAGTGCATCGGGAACCGCGAGAAATTGCTGGCCACTTTTCAGGACTTACCTGAAATGCGCACTCATTGTTGCGAGGCAGTCCGGGAAAGGACAAGCCGAGAGCATGTGATGTGT